TAAAACAATTAAATTAAAAAGCTACTATATGCCTAACTTACCTATAATACTGTATATAATAAGAGTATATAACTTATATTAGCTAATACTAACTTCAGATTTATACTAAATATATATTATAATATATAAAACCCTAAAATGATTAACCTAGTAGCTATACTTAAAAGTAATAATCTAAAAAACCTATATAAAGAACTATAAATAGAACTTAAATTTATTAGAAAATAGATATAATAATATTATAACCTTAAAAGAGTAAAAAGGCCTACCTTTTTAAAAGGAGATATAATTTACCTATCTATAAAAAATATCACCACTAAATAACTAAATTATAAACTTAACTTTAAGTATATTAAACTCTATAAGATTATTAAAAAAGTCTTAATAAATAATTATAAATTAAATCTACTACTAAAGGTTAGGATCTATCCTATCTTTTATATCTTACTGCTTAAATTAGCAGTAAATATAATTTATATTAAAACTAGTAATAAACTAAAGGAAATTAATAGACTAAAACTTTATAAAGTAAAAGAAATTAAAGATATATAAAGAATTAATAGATAAATAAAATACCTAATTAAATAGAAAAACTACCTAAAAAACAAAAACTTATAGAAACCCCTAAAATACCTTATTAATGCCTAGTAACTCCTAAAGAACTTCTACTAGAATTAATAAAAGCATTAAGACCTAATAACTCCTATTTAGACTATTTAGTAATAGTAAACCAGTTATAGAAGGTACTATTAATAATAGCACCTTTTATAGCAGACTATTTATTTTACTCTGCCCTTTTAAGCTTATCTATTAAGCTTAAACTATACTAAATTATATCTAGACCTTTTACCTTAACTTAATAATATTATTGCCTTAAATAAGTAATTTTAGTAAATTAAGTATTTATTTTATTATAAATATAAATAAACTCTACTTAAAGTTTAATTAGTTTATCCTTAATAGCCTCTTCTTTATACTTAAGATAATGCTTCTTATTAATAATCTTTTAAGCTAATATTATATTAATAGAAGCCTATAAAAATATTTTATAAAAAATAAGAAGAATTTACTAGCTGCTATAAATAAGCCATAATTATTACAAGAGAAACTAGATTTAATATAAAGATTGCAGCAATTTAATTTTATAGAATTAAAAACATAAGACTCTATTATCTCTTAATAAATACAATTAGAATATAGCATAATAGGATTGCTAAATGCTATAATAAGGATATAGAGAGATTTATAGTTATTAAAGAATATTTTCTTAGCCTTTACTATACAGTTAAATATCTTAAGGGATTATAGAAGTAAAATTAAATATACTAGGATAACTAATAGTAAAGATATTTTAATTAGGCCTTAAGGATAAGGCCTAAAGAGGGGAGAGATTATATTATAACCTAATAGGCATCTATATATAACCTACATTTTTCACTAATTAACAATACTTCTGCTAAAGACAATTAGCGCCAAGACTCTATAATTATAGTTAATTCCTCTTAATTAATAATAATCTATTTAAATTATTACTAATCTTATAATAACCTTACTAATTAACCCTAAAAGGCATTTAGTATATATATATATATTTATTTAGCATTAAATAGAACTTAGCTTACTAGCTATTAATAAAACTTCTTTATATTAATAAGCCTAATATATATTACTTAATTATTAAGAGATATAATACCTAAGTTAAGCTTAGTATATATACCTTATGTTTCTATAAATATAAAACCTAATATAGACTAGTTTCCTGTTTAAAACCTATAACCGTTATAACTTATTGCTAAAACTTAAGTATAATCTATATATATTATATAATTAGCTTACTTACCTCTTACAGTAAGTATTAATAAATAACCTTTATTAAGCCTATCCTTTAAAATCCTTTATAATATAATACTATAAAAAATAGTATTATACTATATATAAAAATATTATATATCCCTCTATTTACTATATTATATATTTAAATCCCTATTGCTTTAGTTATTTATATTGGCATACTATAAAGTATAATCTATAATAAATTTAGTATTTCTTAAAACTGCTCTATAAGCTATCTATATAACTTTATAGCCTTTATATTATATAGATATAATCTATTTAATCCTTTTAATAGCTATTTCTTTTATTATTTCTTTAATCCTAAAATTTAATTTAATATTTAATTCTTTCTTTTTACTATTTATTTATTATATAAATTAATTAAAAATAAATAACCTACTTAAGCCTTATTATAATTATTTTCTATTTTTATCTATTTAATTTTAAGTAATACTTTTAAGTTATTTACCCCTATTATTATTAATTTATATAGTAGTAATCTAGCTTCTTATATAAGTAAGTAAAATATTTTTAATAAACTGCCTATTATAAATCTTACTTATTAATATATAATCTTATTACCTTATTAATTAATTATATTTCCTGCTGCTATTATATATTATATCTTTATTTTATATATTTATATATTAAATATTTAGTCTATTAGTATTAATTCTAAGTTATTTTTTTCTAATACCTATATTATAAACCGTTATAACTTTTCCTATATAATCCTATATATCCCCTTTACTACCTTATAAGCTTTATTTTTATCTATAGTCTTTATCTTTTTAATAATATCCTCCTCTTACTTATATTATAACTAATATAATACTAATACATACATTACTTTAATTATACCTAAATACTTTAGTATATAATTAATTAATTCTATTTAACTGCTATTTTTATTAATACCTATAATTATTAATATATTAAATATAATACTATTATAGTAGCTCTATTTAAACTAATAATTAAGTATACTAATTAATATATCTAAATATAACTACTCTATCTTTTTATTAATTAGCCCTTTTTTCCTTACTTACTTTATAATAATAGTTTTAGCAGCTTCTATAAACTTATCCTATAAATTACCTTACTAAATAGTTAGCTTATATAGCAGCTAATTTTTATTTTACTAACTATCTATATAATACTAAATATATAGTATTATTATTTAATAGCCTTTATACTATATCTATAATTTATCTTTTAGTTAATTATTAAATAGCTTATTTAGCTTAATATAGATCTTTTTTTACTTAATTTAATATAATACAGCCAGTCTAACTATATTTAATATTGCTACTACCTTAATATAATTAGCTAATTAATTAAATATATTATATATTATTTATAATACTGGCTTATTTTTTTATATTAAGGCAGCTAGTAATAATAAATCTTTTTTTACCTTAAACTTTTATAAATAGCCTACCTAGCCTATTCTTTTTAGTTATATACTTAATTCCTTTTTTTTATTAATAATCTTAATTTTATCTTTTTTAATAATATTAAATTTATTAATTTATTTTTAATATAACCTTATAAGCTTTACTGTAATATCCTTATTACCCTTTAAGCCTTTAATTAAATAGCTTAATAAGTTAATAGGCTTATATACTTTAAATTATTAATTTATTTATTAATACTTAAAAAATTGCTAGTATTATATTTCTTTTACCTATAAAACCTATTTTAATTACTTTAATTTCTTTTTAATATTGCCCCCTTTTATTTAATTACTTTTTTATTTATACTCTATCTAATAGTAATAGTATATATTACTTTTATATAGGTTAATATAACTATATATATAATACCTCTTACAGTTTAATATTAATAGCTTTAAGTATAAAATTAATTTATTTAATAGATTAAGAAACTTAAAGTCTTTTAGATTTATTTAATTTTAAGCTATCTTTATAATTAATATAATAGCTTTATTAATTGCCTTTACTTATATAGGTTAGATTATTAAATATTTTATCTTTAAATACTTAAATATTTTATTAGCTATATAGCTAAAATTATAAACCTTATATATAATAAATAGTAAGTTTTATATATAGATAAATAGATTTATTATAATAGCTATTTTAATACTATATTATATTATAGATTAGGCTTATTAAGTAAGTAGCTATTTACTTTAATTATTTAAGGTTTTTTTTATAATAAATTATTATTATCTTTAATACTTACTTAACTTATATTTACTTTTTTAATAAAGTCTTTACTTTTATCTTACTTTATATTAATTAAACTTTAATTATATAAACTTTACTTTAATAATAAATAAATAATAAACTTAATCTTTATGCCTTTATATTTAATTATTATTCTTTAAAACTTAAATAAAATTAAATATAAGTATCTTAATATTATTTTTATAGTAATTATTTCTTTTTTAACTTTAAAAAGTTTAATAGTCTTTATATATAAAATTTTAATAATCTCTTACCTCTATTTTTATTAATATATTTTTAGTTTTAGTAAGAATAGTTAATAGATACTACTAGAGACTATTGCTAAATAAGGGTAAGATAAAGAGCCAATTAGATCTAAGTCTAATCACGCTCAGGAGGCTCCACTACTGAGCGAAGAGTAGCCAGCGAATAGACATGATATGCGAGAATATGAGGGTACCTACCGAGCTCAGCCTAGCAAGGCATTCCGTAGGAGCATGTGAAGAACCCATTCTAGAGCCTATCGGCACAGTTTGCGAAGCATAATAGGTGGGGCGACATCAACCTCCCGCGGTCTTGTGGGGCGGCAATGTGTATAGCTAGCTTCAAATTGTTGTAAGAATAAGCCTTGTTGAGAGTCTGTTGCAAGGCGGAGCCTGATCTCGGTTTGATCATGATTTGCAAGCTGACGTCATGCTGCTCTGCTGCGCCAGTTTCTGAACCGTCAACAGGTTGCGGCCAATCGACATCTCTAGGTAGTGAGCAATCTCAGTAAACATCAGTTACATGAATTGTTTTCATATTCCAGATCCAAGATAGGGTTAAGGCGATCGCTGACGGGTGCCGGACAAGGGTGTGTTTGCACGTATCAATCGCATATAAAGGACCATGTTGCCATCGAAAACCTTTTACAGAAAACTTTCAAAACATCGCAACGTTTGAACAGGAAACACGCTGTTTACTATCGTCACTATGCTCATTCCCAAACTAATCAAGTTCTATAATCGGGCAGGTCTCACATTATACGCGGCGCTCGCTTTCAGTAGCGTCACTGCACAAGACGTGGAAAATGCCAAAACTGGCTACCCTCCAGTATGAATTCCGTGCCTTCATGAGTCTCTCGAGCATTTTATTCAGCTTATTCTAACTAATTTCAGTGCGATGCATTGATCCAGGCGAATCTTTCACACCTTGTGCACCTCGCAGACTCGCCACTCTATCCGACCTTGGTCAACGGCTCCTGGGCGCCCGACACTCGCAAGAGTCCATTCTGCTTCGTCCTCCCAACCACCACCGAGGAGGTATCCCAAACTATTGTTGCACTTCGCGATGCTGGTAGTGGAGCCGGAGACTGGCATATTGCTGTCCGTAGCGGCGGACATGCGACTGACCATTCGAACAACATCGATACTGGAGTTACAATCGATCTGACCCAGATCAATGCAACCACCTATAATAGGGAGACAAACATCGCAAGTGTTGGCACAGGGGCCCGTTGGGGTGCCGTTTACGAGGATCTTCTTGAGCACGATGTCAGTGTAATGGGTGGGAGAGAAGGCGTGGTGGGTGTAGGAGGGCTGGTCCTGGGTGGCGGCGTCTCGTGGTACACCCCCAAGCGTGCGTTTGCTTGTGACAGTGTTGTCAACTATGAGTTGGTGCTTGCTAATGGATCCATTGTCAACGCAAACCCCCATTCCCATAGAGACCTTTGGAAGGCATTGAAAGGAGGTGGCGCAAACTTTGGTATTGTCACCAGATTCGACATGGAGCCTTTCTCAGCCCAAAACATCACTAAGGCAACGACAGTGATCAGTATGGAGCATCTTGACGAGGTGCTGGACGCGGTTGTGGGCTTTACAAGCCTTGACCAGTCTTTTGAGGATAACTACTTGCTTACGGTGTTCAACTACGATCAAGCTAGCGATTCCACGGCCATCACGCTGACAGAGGTCAATACGGCAAACGATTTGAACTCCTCGGCGTTTCACAGCGTGCGAAAAATCCCAACTCTCCGTCGAATTCCCGCAAAGTCAATGTCTCTCGCTGAGTCCTCCGATGGGTCGTCGCTGAGCGATGAAATGCGGTAAGTCGTGCCAAAACAGCTCAATTTTCGCTCTCAAGATTGGCATAACTGACTTTGCCTGGTAGAACTGTTGGCGCCGGACCTGTGACTGTCGCCAACGACCACCGAATCTTGCGCTTCATCGTCGATCAGTACAATGGATTCGTCAAGGACATTAAGGAGAAGGTGAACCCAGCGAACTTTAGCACCATTTTCGACCTTCAGCCGATGCCATCTCGCGTCGCTGACTACGGTGTTTCGAAAGGTGGTAATATGTTGGGACTCGAGCGGAATAACCGCGACAGAGTTATTGCGGCCGTCGGGGCAATTCTCTTTGGGGGCCAGTATTCCGATCACGATGTTGCCCTGATCTACCAACTCTCTGCGGCAATGAATGACAGGATTATTGCGCACGCAAAGTCGCTTGGTCTCTCGGAGGACTGGGTCTATTTAGCCTACAGCGATGCGCAGCAGGATCCACTGGGTTCTTACGGCCAGACTAATGTGAATCATATCAGACAGATGGCCCACAAGTACGATCCCAAGGGCTTTTTCCAGAAGAGAGTTCCTGGCGGCTTCAAGATTGATAGGGTTGAGACGGGGAAGAAGCGCAATGAATCGCCTTAAGCGTAAGGTCCACAGGCACTACAAACGACCCATGGCGAAGCCGGTATCGGTGGCGATGTGAGTCCTGGATCGTACATGTATGTTAGTTTGGAGCTTCTTAGTCTAGGTTGGTCATCCATTTAATTCCATCAATTTGATGTCTATCTTAAGTTGGGTTAAAAGCTTAATTATTATCCGGTTAGTGGACTTAAACCACTGCAACCTCCTACCACAAGTTTTCTACCTCGGCCAAATGATCCTCGAATATGAACAGTCAAGACATGCAGCGAGCTGTCGGTTTTAACATGCCCGGTTGATGATGGATTGAGACTTGCCGCTTTGGTTAAATCTAAGGTGCAGCTTGGCGGCATATACACTAAGGAAACTAAGAAAGGTGCAGGCAAGCTGGCAACTCGAAGTGTGACAGGGCGTTCATAGCAGGCCCTCGACACCTATCATCGTGCCACAAAGAGCGTCGCGAAATTGCGTAATGACCGTTCCAGGTGTCTGGTACGTACAGGACGAACAACTCAGGGTTGTTTGACTTTGTTCAGCTAGCCACATATTTGACAATTCCCGCTTATATGCTCCTGTCTTTAAGATGACCCTATCAGATAACGGTATGCGTTCTGGGCCGAAGTCTCGATGGCCCGCCACCTCCTCACTTGCTGTGGTAGATTTGACTCCTACCCCACACTTCATCAATGAAAGCGAATGGAAGTACGGAGTAATTAGCGGCATATTTAAGCTCAACAAAACGGCAGGGATCAGCTGAGAGGATGCGATTATCACTTGCAGCCACACGAACATATCACAGACTTCGTACGGCCAAGATCCTCGTATGGACGATGGCCAGATGCTTGGCGCTAGAGTCGCATTCCTTAAGACAGCCCAATCGGCGCGCCCGTTGCCTGCAGCTGTAAGACAAAGTAAAGCAAAACAAGACACTAATTGTGATCACATTCGTCAAAAGACCGATCTGGTCGACATTGACTGATATTCATGACTTGATCCTGTCAAGCTAGATGTTTTTATCATGGCTTTCTTTCTAAGAAATCACCAAGATGTCATAAGGAGGTGTGTAAAGAAATAACCAAGAGTAGACATTTAGATATTGAAGCTCTGCAGCCGATGGATAGTGAGTCAATATTTGTACTAAAAAGGCAATAGTAAAAAAAGACCGGCTTTAACCGGCTCCTCTTCTCACAGTTCCTTGCCAAAGCGCCATCCCTCCCATGACAGATTGTTGACCCTTGTTTAGGCAGCTTTGATGGATCCACCTCCTCCAGATTCCCAATTTTGATATGGTCTTGGACCTTGATGCCTATATCAAGGAAGAACTGCACGCCCAATCCAGGCCGTCCAAACTATGGCTCAATAGATACAGCCACAACAGTGAATTCCTTCGTTACATGATACACGTGGTAGTTGTTAGGACACTTCTCGTCACCGTCGGTGTTGAGGTTCTGGGGATCAAGAGCCCTCCGTGAGAAGGAAGCGGTTGCGGGAGATATGAAACGCCCAATGAATTGCTGATTAGAATGCTTATTTTGCAGAAATACCTTTGATATCTTAACACTGTTGTTTCCAAAACGATCAATTACTATGCCAACCTCTAGGTCCACATTTGCTTTCATAGGTATACCATCCTGGTCTAATCTAGAGCCATTCTGCTATTATGCCCTCTCCCCGCCTTCCTCTTCCATTAAAGCCTTCCATTCAGTCTGTTTAGGCCTCCAACCAAGTTTGAACAGCTTGTCCGATCTTGTTCTTTCACCACAACCCCACATAATAGGACCAAATGGATGGATCTCTCTTGCGGCATCGACTGACACGCTTTCTACTTCTCCAAGACCCAATCGCTCACTGACAGCTTTGGCCCTTTCCACCATACTCAAGTCTCCGGTACTAACAAAGTAGTAGCCGTCTTGATTTATTCCTACTTCTCCTCGTCTCTTGCTCAGTGCCTGATCCATCAGGAACACGACTGCATCTCCCAAATCACTAATGGAGACCCACGACCATGTTGCGGTACCCTCACCGATTACAAAGGCCCGTCCACGGCTCTTAACAGTGGCATAATAGAACGCCGCATTGCTCTCCTTCTTCAGATGGCCCATGCCCCGTCCCCACAATTGACCAGGCGAGATCAGCATTGTGCCCACTCCTTTATCAGCACTGTGAGCGACGATGGCTTGGTCAGCACCAGCGTGAATGCGATCCTTCGGCACGTTCAGTATTGCATGCGCGTCCAAGATATCGCTCCAAGGAGGGCTGTTTTCCTTCAAATTTCCAGTGATGGGACTCGAGAAGTCAATAAGACTTCGGGGGCCAGTTAGGCTGATGAGTCGTGGCATGGGCGATCCATTGGTGACACGGCATGATAATCCATCTATCATCGCGCAAACAGCAGGGACATTGTCACCTCCAGCATGGATGACGAAGTCGGCCTCTGCTGCCGTGGATGTGAGAAGAGAAAGCGAGGAAAGTTCGCCGATGATGGGGGTGAGATTTGGATAGACCGATTGGAGTTCTTTAGCATTCTTCTCCTCACGGATCAGAGCTTTGACGCGAAAGTTAGGATGTGCCTTCAAAAGACAGGATAGGATAGTGCCGCCGACGAATCCGGTTACACCAGTGATAAAAACACAGTGTGATGTGGGCGTTCTTTGAGAATTAGACTCCAAACTCATCATTGCGAATGAATCTTAAGATAGGAATAGTAAATAATCAACTTCTGTATAGACAAAGAAGTATTAATGGCACTTTTACTCTGATTTTTGGTGCTCTTCACTGCGGTGAATAGTATGTCCTAAGGCACATAACTTAACAAAGGTAATTGTTTATACTCTATCACTATCTATAAAAATCCCGCAAATTAATAGTCACCATATCGTAATGACTAAGCTATAACCAGCCTATCGATGCATTGCTTGATCTGCATGCCTGAGGCGTGTCAGCAGCTAAGTCGGGTAGACTATTAGCCCGTCTGACTTAGCTAAGTTAGACAGCCTGCAGTCAGCAGTTAAACCATAAGCAAAAGTGAATGTTACAGACACGCCAGCCACCATGCAATAGACCACATATGAGATGGAGAGATCAGGGAACAGGTTCTTGGGCTTCTCGCCACAGGACGAAATATCACGGCTTCGTTGATGAGTTGGACATGGTACTCCCTTGTCCGTAACCCTCATGTGTTTGCAAAACTACGCTCCGAGATCCTTTCTTCCTTTGGCGCCAGCACTAATGGCGCTTCGGTTACAATCACGTTTTCGTCTTTGAAAGAATGTAGATATCTTCAGCACGCTCTGTCTGAGACCCTGCAACTACACTCCTCTGTACCTTTCAGCTCCAGTGGCGCGCTTCGGAACTCACGCTCCCAACAGGAGGTGGGACGGACGGAAATAGTCCTATCTTTGTACCTCAAGGGACAGAGGTCAACTTCAGCACGCATGTGCTCCAAAGACGGAAGGACCTCTGGGACGAAGACGCCGACGACTTCGTTCCTGAACGCTGGGAGAAGAAGGGGGGAGCTGCTAGCGCCGTATGGCATAACTTCACTGTAATTTGTAGTCCTGAAAGCCCAGTTGACAGAAACCAGGCAGTATTATGCCAATCAAAGCTGGCTTAGTATAATTGATTGAACTAAAGCCAATTACCCTCAGAGGTGTCAAGTTTGCAAGTCTTGTATACTCCGTTCTGAAATAATGTTTTTTACAATCTCTGCTGCTCTATCCAAAGCCGCTCTAAAACGTTCTGCGCTTTTCTCCGGACCGACGAAGCACACTTCAATCCTGTTACTTATCAGTATGTATGCCTGTAGTGGCCATCTTGGGGGCTGTAGAGACTCACGAATCATCAAACACGGTGTAATTCATCCATACCGACTCTGGATGCGGCATGGTGAAGCCCGGATCTTCTGCAAGCTTTTTTTCCACCATTGTTTGCATGATAAGTTTTGGATAGCCCCTCTTCCAGACGGGGTCAGAGAACAGCTCTGGCACTTTTTCTTCCTTCTGATCCTGAGACATGACCTCGATCACATCCATGAGCCTGAAGTAGTTTCGGCCCTCGGTTCCCTTGGTAATTTGCGCATTGCACTCTCGTGCAGCCTGTACGAGTTTGGTACGAGCATCGCTACGAGGCACAGTATCGTCAAGGGCAGCGTCGCAAAAGTCCATCACAGACTTCCGAACCACCTGCACAATCTCTGGACGGCCAAGATGGAAATGCGCTGTTGATACGGTCTCCCAACTGGCCGGCAGGTGGCCAAAGTATAGTCGACTGGCCAGCTGTATTGTTAGGTCGACGGTCGCTTTGATGGGCGCGGAGTGACTGAGCAAGGTGGTTTTGCCAAAGGATTTGATGAGATGAGGGACGTATTGCTTTGCAGATGTGACAGCAAGGTAGTCGTGGCGGAGGGATTCGATGCGGTTATTAATATCATCTGTTATCAACAAAGGGATCTCTTCGAGACTAGCTGGATCAACAGCAATGCTACCGTTACTTGGAGTCGACTTCCTAGGATCGAAGGTAGCGATGGCATTTTGGAGTCTCTGGGAAAGCTGAGAAACCGTCATGAGATCAATCATGGAATGCTCGAAAATGGTGGCCGAGCGCCCGTTGGCGGTAACAATAATTTGCGTGCATTTGTCGTGCCAGCGATTGAACGAGTCCCCAATGTAGCCAAAGCGGACTCGGTCTGCCCGTGTCACTGGGCTGTTGTCGTCAAGGCACATGACGAATACGGAAGCTTCGATAGTTTCGAAATAAACAGCATTTCTGTTGTTCAAACAAAGCAGTCTCCGTCGGTTCTAGAGGAATCTTAGCCAAACTTCAAGTAGAAGTCCATGACACCACTTACCAAGCCCCATGTATCACGATTGTCAGTAGTCAACATGCCAGCCCAACTGTCTTCCAGGTCCAGATCGAGGATCTCCTGGTATGTTGCCTTGAGCGTGTCATATGAAGCTCTCATGTCTCCATGCTTGAGCGGAATCTTGAATAGATGTCCCTTTCGCAGCACGGCAACATACTCATTGCCCGGGTACTTCATCATTTTGTCACAGTCGACATTTGGCTCTCTTACAGCATTGAACAGCCAGGACAATGAGTGCCCACAGTTAGCCCTCGTACCAAGGAAATCGGGCTCAAGCCTGCCTAAGTCGCGGTCGGTCTTGAAATCATATAAAGCTGTAGTCAGCAGAGCTGCCCGCTCCGCCTGGGTGTGGACTGTCGGGCTGTCAAAGTGCGTACCCAAGAAGTTTCCAAAAGGTGCGAGTGGATAACGACGCTTAAGATGAAGGGCCTTGAGGAGCAGGTCGGCGATCCAACTCTCTACGTTTGGATCATCGGCCTGGGCACGCAGTTTATTGTAGAGTCTGCGACCAAGACTACCTGGTGCCGCCAGAGCGTGGGCTTTTCGACTAAGATCCTCGTATTCCTCTCGGGTGTGAGCAAAGTGACCAAAACTGCTAAGGAGGTCTGCAATGGCTTCCTCTAGGTCGACGAGCGGGTACCTAGGTAACTCTTTGCAAGTTCGGCAGCAATAGAATCCGTGATTAGTCCAAACCTGCTCACCCGCCGATGAAGATGTTTGTTCTGTGACAGTAACAATGTCTTTGGGGGCTGATTTCCGTATCTCATTAGGAACAAGTTTCGACCGCGAAGCAACCGTTGCCGTGAGGGCTGTGATGCTTCCAGCACCGCTCAACTCCGATGTCTGTAGGTTAATCTGGAATGTGCGCGCCATCCAGTTCTTCAACTCAATGCTGACAAGAGAATCCAACCCAATCGTGGCCAGCGACTGGTCCACCCGGATATCGTCCACTGGCCGGTCTAGGAAGACAGCAAACTTGGCGAGTGCAGCTTCTTGAATCAACTGCTCCGCCTCAGCCATGGTCTTGACACCAGCCAATGCCTCTGCAAAATCAAACTTATCTCTTTTAGCGGCGCCTGTCGTCTTTTGATCCAGTTTATGTTGTAATTGGCTGAAAACAGGATTATCAAGCAGATACTCGTCATTGGCTTCCATCATCGACAGACGCGTTACGCCCTGGATCGATTGGTGTAGGCCATCCATTCGAGCGGCATCTGTCATGAGATACTCCAAGTTCGCAAAGAACTCTTCGAAGGAGATATCCATTACACTGTTGTGCCGGAGACTTGCCCTAATGGTGCTAATACTGGTCTCGTTTTGGGATGCCTCCAAAGCGCCGTGGGCATCAATGGAGACGGCGCCGATGTTGAGGGAGACATACTGAGTATGCGGATGATTGGCATGGGCTCGTGCAAAGGCATCTTGGAAGCCATTTCCGGCTGCGTAGTTCGACTGGCCAGACTTACCAATCACTGAAACAATAGATGACAGTGCCACGAAGAAGGCCAGATCCGGGGAGGCGAAATACTTGTCAAGATTGATGGTTCCAACAACTTTGGGCTGGAGTGGCTGTTTCCACTCATCGACAGTCATTTGAGAAAATGTTCGGTCCTATAAAGTGTCAGAATCTGGCTCCGGGCCATGTAAATAACATCAGCCTACCCTCAGAGCCAAAGCGCCCTGTACAACGCCTCGGACAGGAGGCAGTGCTCTACAAAACGAGACGGCATTCTTCATCTGATCGTCATTGGTGATATCACATATCAGTAGGTGGAGCTGACCACCATGCGCTTCCACTGCTGCCACATGCTTTCGTCTCGTCTCATCGTCGATTGTGCGCCGAGATAGTGAGACAATATGTCCGGCTCCCCGGGCAGCGAAAAACCGACATATCCGTGAAGGCAGATCACCCAGGCCGCCTGCAACGATATAAGTTCCGTCTTTCCTGAGTCGCAGAGGTATAGGTTGCGCTGGCGAACATTTGACTCTTGAACTGGGCTGTGTCACGAGTACAACCTTTCCAATATGTTTTCTCGCGCTCATAAGTCGGAAGGCATCCTCAACCTGCTCAATGGGATACACTGTGGATGGCCCCATTGGACGAAGTTCCTCTGACTCAACGAGTTTGACGATTTCACCAAGAATCTGGTATATATAAGAGCTCTTTCGTGTTGCCAAAGTTGCCAAATCAAAGGCATGGAATGTGATTGACTTTTCGAATGCAGCCATGCTCAGTCGAGAGGGCTTTCGCGTCTCAGTCCTTCCCAGTTCAATAAAGACGCCCAAGCATTTAACGCATTCAAGACTTTCTCTGAGCATCTCTCCTGTTGATGTGCCCAGCACAAGATCCACGCCCTCACCGCCTGTGAGACGCATGATGCTATTTTTCAATGAACCTTGCCGGCTAGAATAGATGTGACTCTCCTGAATGCCGTAAGTATCTACGAGAAATTGCTGTTTCTCGCGGTTTCCAACCGTACAGAAGATCTCAGCTCCAATGGATTGCGCAAGCTGAATTGCTGCTTGTCCAACCGCTCCTGATGCAGAATGAATGAGAACAGATTGCCCTTGCTCGAGGTTGGCTAGGTTCCTTATGCATTGGTACGCCGTCACATACGCGTAGGGTAGTGATGATGCTGTAGTGTTGCTCATGGAGCTGGGCACCTTGTGGGCATGGTGTCCCTTGACCTGTGACAGGTTGCTGTATGGCTGAGCACCAAAGCCCATGACCCTGTCTCCCACTTGATACGCGTCCTTCATGTCTTGGCCAACTGCTGTTATGACACCAGCAAACTCACCGACCATTTGCGCATCGGAATGCGTTTGTCCGAGGGCCACGCACAGGTCTCTGTAGTTGACCCCGTAGGCATCGGGTTTGACCTCGATCTGGTCAGCTCCTAATTCGAGCGAAAACTCAGAATCAACAAACTTTAGAGAGCTAAGTATGCCAGGAGTACCGACTTCAAGCTCGAGAGGCCGGTCACCTTGATGAAGAGCAGTCTCTGTCTCTGTCATTGTGGAGTCATTCCAGGTACCCCGAGCCCATTTCAAGAACCTAGTGTCTGACAATACCCGAGGAATGAATACACGGCCATTTTCGTAAGCGAATTCAGGCTCCAGAGACTTCCCATCATTAGTACCTTGCCAGAAGCATGCCTCCGAGATCCCAGCTATTGCCTGCCCGATCACTTGCGTGCTGGGAGCAGGATCGCGGATGTCGAGGGTGATGAACCCAGTGTTGCCACTCTCACGACGCAAGACTCGCACAGTAGCACTCACAAGGCCCTTGTATGCCGTGGATACTGGATCAGGAGTACCCTGGGTGACTACCCAGAGTATCTTGCCCTTTGAGGCAAGGAGAAGATTGAGCGCTGTGAATAATTGAGGTTGAGGATCTAGGAGTAGAGGCATCTCAGGGCGATCAACTACCAAGTAGAGCATGTCCTCGCTGATGTCTACTGAGTCCCAAGTGCGCTTGCTCATCCGAGCGTCGATGGAAGTGGACTTGATGTGCTGTAAAATCTTGACATTCCTGTCATCGGGCACATCTTCGACGAGTACAATCGTCTTTTTTCCCATACGATGCCCGTTAGTTGGTGGAGCCACAGCTCTGGAAACCATCATGCTATTACGCGCAACATGAATCCCACCAAAGCCATTCCTTGATAGGATCGTATCCCATTGCTCCCTATAGATCAACGCAGTGTCCTCTCGGAATTCGTCTTCATGAGCCCACCATCCAGACAGGGTGCCGAATATTAGACCGATGACCGCGCCTCTGGGTGAGTTCTCAACGAGTATAAGGCTTCCACCGGGGCGAAGGAGCTTTCGCACATGCTCCATGGTGATATCCATCCGCTTCGTCGCATGCAGAACATTCGATGCCACGATAACATCATAAGATTCAGACTGAAAGCCCTGTGCGAGAGGATCACCTTCTACATCCAGCGTCTTAAACTCCATATAAGACTCCCAGTTGGCGAAGGTTCTGCGAGCTTCTTCAAAGAAGCCACTTGATATGTCTGTGTATGTATACTGCCCGATAGGAAGGTCACCACTGCTTTGGTTGGAGATTCCACCGAGAAGCTGCTTTGTACAGCCTCCAGTCCCCGCGCCAATCTCCAGAAAACGAAGTCGCGGGTTCTTGAAGGTGAGAAGCTGAAGATATGCAACTGCGGCTTCATAGTCGCCACTGAATGTCCCACCCTCGTAAGCTCTTACCAGGAGGTTTTCCTCTAGCATAACGCTCAAGGGATCAGATGTGCCTCTTAGAATGTCAGGAAGAGCTCTGCCGACCCGTGCAAGTAGCTGAAGCTCGGGTGCATTGGTGAGGGCGTCAATGCGCTGCAGTATGTTGACTTCATCCTCGATGCATAGCCCTGACATGATCTGGCTATAGTGATCAGAATTGATCCACTTCTTCATCCATCCAAGATACTTGACTAAATGAGGGCTCGTGATGTCAACGTTGTTGGCTTCGACGTAGGCCAGTGCATCTCGAATCCAAATGGATGCTGCTTGGTCAGCCAGACGGAAGCTCTTTTCAGCTTCGACGGCAGATACTTTCCTCCCTTCGTAGTTATACGTCATGTTCTCATCCAAGCCCAGCGTGATAGAGAGATAATGAGAGAACGAGGTTTCGGTCATAAAATCCACGTCAACGTTCCATTCTAGCCGATTCACTTTGTCCTGGACGAAAGGCCGGTTCTCATCTTGCTGTGCCTCACCAATGGCTATGAGATTTACCAAAAGCTTGATGACTGGTCGGAGTTGGCCATCCGTCTCTTCTTGAAACACCCAAGACTGCGCAGTGGATGCCTTTGGTCCATCAGATTCGATCTGCATGGCGGCAGTCAGGTTGTTGCCCGGTCGTGTCGAGATATTGGCATCAATTTCCAAGAGATCAATCTTGGTAGGAACGCAAGGCGCGTTGGACACGAACTTTTTGAAAAGCATCCCGCTAAGCTGGTGGACAGCGTCTAGGGTAATCGGGTGAATAACGTGAGGTCTGAAGGAGCGATATGGCATCAAAGCAGCCACGTCTGGAATGATGATATCGAGAAGACCTTGTTTGTTGCCATATTTGAGAGAATCAATTGGACTGAAGGCACCGTCCCATTGGTTTCCGGTCAACTTGGCAAACTCATAGAATTCGGTCTTTTTCATCTTCATGCTACAGCTCTGTCGAGCATGATGAAGGAACTGTAGCGACTCTTCTCTGCGCAGATCTGATTCTCGAGTTCCATTCACTTCATCGCCCTCGGTATTTTTATACTCGACTGTAATCTCGCCTGAGCAGTTTTCGGTCCATGATTCGTTGGCACTGTCATACGACCAGATTCGGAATGTTTCCCAGCGACTGCCTTCGTATTGCTGCGAGGTGGACATACTCAGCTGTACTTCAATCTCGCCAGACTGCTCATCATTATCCGACTCGTTGAGGACAATGGACTTTGAAATGATCACATCGCGAAGGATGAATCTTGAAATCAATCGCTGAGCATCTCTCAGCTGCACAAGCTGGTTCATCGCTTCAATAGCCATGGTGAGGTATCCAGCGCCTGGATATAATGTAAACCCTTCAACCACATGATCACGCAGCCATGGCAAGGCATCCAGGTTGATGAGGTATCTCCAACGTGGCTCTTGGATAGTACTACCTGGATCAAGTAGGCCTAATAAATCATGCGGTGGTAACTTGCGAAAACGGTGAGCCTTGCTGAGTCTGGATTCGTGCCAGAATGGTGCAAGATCCCAAGGGTATGATTTCATATCTCGGATGATGCCAGGCTCTCGTGTTTCGGTCATCTTGAGTACAGCGTCCAGATCGACCTTGAGGCCTAGCTCAAAGATCTTGCCGGCGAGAGATAAGACAGTTTGCACAGCGTTCTTGTGGCGCACGAGGGCAGAGAAGTATTCAAATTTGAACTTCCCACCTCCTGGTGGTGTCAGTGTTTGACGAGAAGGGCCTGCCAAAGCTGGGTGAGGTCCAAGTTCGATGAAAACGCTTGTGTCAATCCCCGGCTCGTTTCTTAGTTGATCGCTCCTCAACAATGCCAGTGCCTGGCTGAACTTGACCTGGGACACCAAATTGTCGGTCCAGTAGTCGGCGCCGAATGCTGTTGGCTTGACTGCACCGGTTACGCTTGAGTAGAACGTGATACCACACCGTACATCAGAGGACTCGATATTTTGCATCGCTTGATGGTAATTATGTGCGATTCGCCGCATGTGATGCGAGTGATAAGCGGCATCAACTTTCAGCTTGCGAGCAAAGATTCCCTCGGCGTCAAGTAGAGACTTCAACTCCTCAATGGCAGTTAGGTCTCCCGAAATTGTACTGCTCTCCGGGCTATTTAAACAGGCCACACCGATAGTTCCACTAGTAACTCTATCAATGTATCGCTGCGCTTCAGCCTCTCCGAGAGTGACTGCCATCATTGAGCCAGGCACTTCAGCTGCTACTTTGGCCATCGAGGAGGCGATGCCACGGTGATAGGCACTACTCAAAGTTAGCTACATCACCTTGTAGGTCATAAGCTCGACTCACACAATGATAGCATTTTCTCGGCTCAAAGCACCAGCGGCATATGCAGCAGCAACTTCACCAGAGCTGTGGCCAATAACACGGCTGGGTGTGATAGAAAAGCTCCCTAGTAAATCCACAAGCGCAATCTGTATCGCTGTCGTTGCAGGCTGCGATATCTCTGCCTCGCTGATGCGTGACTGGCTTTCGGATTTGAGCAGCTCATCAATGAGACTCCAAGAGCCTCCTTCCCGTCGTATGGTATCATCCATATCCACGATTGACTCTCGGAAGTATCGTGATGACTTAATGAGCTCACGGCCCATTGCATGCCATTGCGCACCTTGTCCGGAAAAGACAAAAGTGAGAGGTGCAAGAGTGGTAGCTTTCTTGGGATGAACCACCTGATCCAGTTCTTCCATCAGCTCCACTGATGTCGATGCAACGATAGCTCGGCGGAATAAAAAAGCAGACTTGCGAGTACCCAGTGTGTACGACAGACTGCGCAGAGTCTGAGAATCCAAAAGGTGAGCACTTGCCCACTGTTTGGTGTTTTCTACGGTTGAGACAAAAGCCTTCTCCGTTGATGCACTCAGAACAAACAACTTGGGAGTAGAGTCAGTGACATCGCCAGGGATTGAAGATCCATTCAGAGCTGATTCAGAGGTAAAGGATCCCTTAGTAGCTTCATTGAATGACTCGGGGCTATTATGATGAGTGGATAACCCATTAGTCTGGGCGCCATTAAGCTTGTGGTATGCGCCTGGAGCCTCAAGGATAACGTGGCAGTTAGTTCCTCCGTACCCAAATGAGTTGACTGATACTCTAGCGGGGCCATTGTGCTGTGGTCTTGGTAGCTCTGTAACTTCAGTCGGGATCTGCAAACAGGTTAGAGTAGTCTCCCTTTGGCTTGAAAACTTAGGGATCTGTACCTTTATTCTCTTCTCATAAAGCTTCAGAGATGGCTTGGGCTTGATGAAATTGAGGTTGGCTGGAATCTGGTTATGCTTCAGCACGAGTATGGACTTCAGCAACCCGGCGATACCGGAGGTTGCTTCGAGGTGGCCGATGTTCGTCTTCACTGAGCCGACGTAAAGATCGTCCGTCCTACAAGACTCTTCACAAAAGACCTTAGATATCGACGCTATCTCCTCCCGGTCACCTGCTTGGGTTCCCTACGCGTTCTTAGCCTGATTTCCCGTTTAGCGTGACAGGAGACTTACAGTGCCGTGAGCTTCGACGAAAGACGTATCAGCAGGATTCAGCCCGGCCTCTTGGTACACACGGAGAGACAACGCTGCCTGTGCCTCGCTGCTGGGGGTATTCAGGCCAGGTGTTTTGCCGTCTTGATTCATGCCTGAATTAGCAATGATGGCGTGTATTCTGTCACTGTTATCTTGGTCAGCACGCCAAGCGACCGCAAAAGACCCACCACTTACCCGTCTTTGACTGCAAGGTCCAAACGCTTGAGAACTATTGTGGCAACGCCTTCGCCGCGTCCATATCCAGCGCCTCTAGAGTCAAAGGTATACGACTTTCCATCTGGATTGAGCATCCCCATACCGCTCACTACAGGAAGATCAGCACTGAATTCGTGTATTGCTTGAACGCCACCGGGAATGCAGACGGAGGAGGAAACTCACTTATGCTTAGAATGTCTGGCTGAATAACAAGCTGCGAGCCACCCACTAAGGCGAGATTCGACTCGCCCAACCGAAGGCTGTGGCATGCTTGGTGAAGGCCTACAAGACTTCCAGACTACTCAATGTCAGTAAGTGACTCGTTTGGCATGTCGGTTTCAGAATTCCATACGCAGCCAGTGTCGATAGTCATGCAGGGACCGCGCAGGTCGAAACAGTATGATATCCGGTTTGATAGGACTGTTTGGTGTTAGTCACATGTACGGGTATGATCTAGCAAACACGACAACTTACTAGACTCGCCAGTTCCGTTCAGGTGCGTCCTGCCAATCGTGGACAGGTCTTTGTGCCCCATGCGATCGTAGCTCCTCTCAAAGATGCTAGCATAAACACCAGTGTTGGAGCCGCGCAGTGAATCAACGGGAATACCAGCGTCTTCGAGAGCCTCATACGTCGTCATGAGAAAGAGGCGTTGTTGCGGGTCCATCGAGTGGGCTTCTGCACTGGAGATACCAAAGAATTTGGCATCAAACTGGGAGATGTCGTCCTGGAGGAAATACCCGTGCTTGGTCACCATGGATTGCTTCGCATCTGGATAGGCATCGAACCACGAGTCTGCGTTCCAGCGGTCGCTGGGAATCTCTGTCCGCCCATCGCGACTCTCTGACAGCAGTTTCCATAGCTTGTCTAAGTTGTTTGCTCCACCTGGGAGCCTACAACCGACGCCGATGATGGCGATTGGGGCTGGAGGGTTCATAATACGAGACATGACGCTGGCGCGGTAAATAATTGGATGGCTCTAGATTGGTGATATCCGAAGAAGTATAAAGATAGTCTTCATCAATCGCCGCTTCTGTTCTCTTAAACTAAAGCTACAAGTCTTCTCAAGTAGTCGCGTATATACTTGCCAAGCCAGCATGTCCCCTCTCTTCGAAGGATTCAGGCTCGTCCCGTCGCTGCCGAAAAAAAGCATCTTCTGTCTCGTGAATCAGAGCTATCTGTCGCTGCTTCGCCCATCTCAACACGATAATAGGCTAAATTGGGCGGCAGTGAGCCATCGAGATCCGAAGTTCATCTCATATGAGATCATCTCCAAGATCTAGTTGCGTCGCGGGTAGATAATGGCTGTCTGATATGCCGATCTAGGTAAAATCGGAATCAACGGCTCCTTACGGCCAGGCGTAAAATCATGAAAACATGAGCATCCACTGTAGTACGATTCAGAGCTGCGAGGTGATTGCTCGGCTCGGATGGGCAGCAACAGCATAGCATTTAACCTGCCAATAGCAACTCAAAACTAACTATCAATTCTGAAGGATTATGAGGTTACATCAGCGACTCCGTACAAAGTGGCGTAGATGGGTCTTGGACATGCAGCCTACATTCTATTGGCCTGCAGCCCAAGAGCCGCAGGACTGTGCCTCACATAAGCCAGATCCTACAGCTTGCTTGGCGCCTTGGGCGTACCATCCAAGAGGCCGGCTAAATGCTCCTCCACCACGGCCCACGTCTCGGGCGGCAAGATTGCCATCATCCACGTATTGCCCTGGCCATCTCTGCCACCCACTTGGAACATGTTGCGAATATGCGTATTATGCTCCAACGAAGTCCACTGGTGCCATGCGAGCTTTCCCGGAGACTTGCCATGGCCGGCTGCGGCGGCAGTAATGACAGCGGGGGAAAAGTCAATTGAGTCGAAGAACCTCATTTTACTGAAATTGGAAACGACTAGGATGAATGCGTCTTGAGCAGCAAAGACGGGCGGGTTTTCTTTGTCCTTTGCGTAAGACTCCCGCAGGAGATGCAGCTGAGCGTGCACCTGGGGGGGCTTGGTCAGCGTCGCCACTGATTCTCTCACTAGGAGGGCGGTTTTTGCTAGTGGCTGGTACCGAAGCGCTTGAAGCGTGGTGTTTGTCGAGGTCGAGAAAGTGGCATTGGCGACGAAAACAGGACTCGAGTCAGGTTTGTCCTCGCGTTGAGGGAACGTTCGTGGTAAACAGTGTCTCGCCTCGTACATGCCCATGACATGAACAGGACGATCTGCCGCAGGAAGTATACCGCAGCAAAGCCGCGCCGCCCATGCAGCGAGGATATCGGCGTCGCTCACAAATTTTCCGTTGAATAGTGCTCCCTTTGGAATGACTTTAAGTTTATCCGAACCGTGGCCACCGATAAAGTCCATCTTGATCCTCTGCAGGGCAGAGTCTGGTAGCACGAGCATGCGTCGCACCGATATTGGGTATCTCGCGACGTGCTCCAGGTATGTTTCGTACGTCTTTTTGAACGCTTGGGGGCTTAACTGCATATCCGCCAGAGCGTAAGGTTCCCTGGGTGGCACTGATCCAATGGGTTTCAGAGGGTCTTCGTATGCACCCATAAAAGGCGGGATATCGTCGTAGCGTCCGTCAAGATCCATCGACCATGCCAGGACCAGAGCTTTTATACCCATGAAGTCACATACCACGTGAACCCAGCGGATGCTGATCAATGTCGCATCATTGAAGAGAGCTATGTGAACGCCAATGATGGGCTCTTGACGGCGAACGTGTTCTGAAAAGTCGAGCGCCCATTCTGGGCCAAGAGTCAACGAGTTGAACTGCGAAGTGATTCCAGGAAACAGCTCGGGCTTGCCTTTTGCCCTTGGGAGGTTCTTCGCAACAGGGTGTTCAGCAGCTTTCATTAAAAAAGTCTCCTCTGAAAATTGAAATGCAGGTCGCTCTTGACTGTATGATCTAGGTGCATGGATCTCAAGTTTGCCGACGTCGTTGAACTGCAAGCGGCCGCCTAATTTTCTCCAATGGCCAAGGCTGAGTAGATGCGTGAGAGCTGCGCATAATTTCCGCGTGTCAAGAACTGCATCGAAGCGCAGGGTCCAGTGTTGCATGTATCGATTGATAGAGGAGTCGTCAAACTCATGCAAAGGGAACACAATGTCAGATGAGGACATTTTTGCCACTTCGGGAGCCGTGGTATTTCCAGAAGCCATTGAGGTCTGTGAGCGGTGTGAAGACCTGTAGGCAAAGAGGCTGCTAAGAGGTTATGCCGCATTTCATAGCAAGGTCTCGACTGATCCTCGGAAATTAGTAAATCCTTCTGCAGAGCTGTAGCACAGCAGTTGCAAACCTCCGCATAAGAAGCTTGGTTGGTCTACTCTCCGGGTAAAGGGCTTTAGGCACATTTTAATACAGGCTGTATATAGTAGAATTCATACAAAATATATCCCAACTCATCAAAATAAACCTTCAGTTACAGAACATTATCCAAAGCTCTTTAATGCCTTTTTCAAAAAAGGAGCAGTGTCCCATGGCCTGAACATGGGTCTAGACTAGCAAGGAAGAAAAAGATGACATCAATCCACACCTTTAGAATGGTCAATGACGAATGTGTCATGTGTAAGACACTTAACCCCACTAAAGTAAACATCACAGTCTACGCGTCTGGAATGGCCAATTATCTCATATTATAAGGCACAAACTCTCCACTAAAGCAACATTCTGTAGACAACATTCCTTAGCAATGGGCTACACAAGACAAATACTGAACCGTTTTAGTGCCATGTTTCAAACTAATACCGACATCAAATGCAAGAGATGGGATATTCTTCAGCAACTTCAACCATAAAAGCTTGGCGATCTCCTACTGTGAAAAACAGCATATGTTGCATATTGTGACGTTTCTCCATATATGACAAAAGTCATGAAGAGCTGCATCTTTGCAACTACTCTTTTAGGATCAGCAGGCATGGCCTCGGCTGCTGAATATCCTTCGATGGAAATGGATACATGGTGTATCACATACCTGTCTACCTATCTTGCTCCGATTTCTGTTGCGCCCGGTGTGTCACCGTCAAGTCATATGACATTGTTCGGAAACAGTTCAACAGCAACGGCCTCCAGTACGTGGTCTTTCTTTTGCTAGATTATGGTGAATGAGTATTGATAGTGTGGCAGTCACAGGTGGCCAGACCATAATCGCTTCTGAGCTTAGCTCAACGTCTGACTTGTCGAGTTTCGATGTTGCAACGACCGAAGCACAAACTGGCTCTGGCACACTATCCTTTGGTTCGATAACCGAACCGGTCGATACGTCTTCAGCGTTTGCAACAGACATATCCTCTTCGGCCTTGCCCACTTCAACCGGCATTATCGAACCACCGGGACGATCTGTCATCTTCCTCATCCAGGCATCTGGTAATCAGAAACGAGATGTTGAGAAAAGAGAAGCCGAAGGCTTTGTTGGCGCTGATAATCCAGATGTTTGTACCTTTGCCTTGACTTTCAATCTGGTCCTGCAGGTCAGCTCTTTGTTGGCGGTTTACCAACGTTTTACGCCGGTGAGAATTACAAAGCACTGGGTGTTCAAGATGGAGGCTCTTTTCCCCAAGACGCCATTACGAAGACCTTTGGAACTACGGGACAAAACCTCATTTTCAAAAACTCCGGCCTACCAAATGGCGAGGCAGGTTTTTGTCAGGACTCTAGTGGTCAAGTGTATATCACCTTCACTGCTAGTCCTCCTGGATGTGTCCCTGTTACTCTAGGCGTCTATGACGGTGAGAATATCCACGATCTTTACCCGCTCAATTGCTAATTTGGATGCAGTCACCCAATGTCAGAATGGTCGACTTGTCGGTTTCGAGACTTCGACCTCTGCTTCGGCAAGTTCCACAGAGGCAAGCACAGCTGAAAGTGTGAGCTCTGGAATTTTCAGTAGCGAAGAGCCCACAACAGCAGAAACAGCCGCCCCCACAGAGTTCAGTTCTCTTTCCTATGTTGAAACAAGCAGTACCCTGCCCGAAATGTCTGGTTCTACAGCATTTAACTCCGCTTCATCCTAGAATGTTGACACTTCTGCTATAGCCTCCTCGCAAACATTCGGCTCTGTATCATCTGCCGCTTCTTCCCGAAGTGTTGATGCATCCACGTCAGCATCCGGTACTGAAGTATTTTCCACTATCTCTTCCGAAGAGATCATTCCACCTACTTCAACCTTCAGTTCTGAAGCCTCTACCACCGTCACTTCCCAAGATGCTGATACATCTGCCTCAATCTCTTCCCAAGCAGTCGATTCCGAGACATCTGCCATCGTTTCTTCTGAGCTTTTTGATTCATCTGTCACCATCCAATCAACCCTTTCCTCCAGCGACTCTAGTACCGAGGCACCTTCCTCTACTGAGTTGGAAACGTCGAATTCGCTCGCAAGCACGTCAGAGGAGCCATTCAGCACGACCACTGAAACTTCAGGTGATTCAACTTCAGAGACCTCATCAGAGCTAGCTAGTTCAAGTTCTGAAGAGATAACTTCAGACCAATCGACCACAACTTCAGAGTCTTCAACAGGGATCACAACTACTACTGCAGACACCACTACCGACCTCATAACGACTACGACCTCTGCTGCCGCATTGAGTGAGTGCCGCAGCGACTCTAACCCATACTCAGACAGTGATTCCACCTTTGATCTCTCCTGTGACTTCAGTGTCGATAGCAGTGCATCGATAGGAGTAGTTCAAGCAAACAGTTTCAACCAGTGCGTCTTTTTCTGCGCTCAAGCGTCTAACTGCGCTGCCATCCAGTACGAAAAGTCTACAATGAACTGTAGCGGATTTAGGTCATTTACTGGAACTTCCGCGAACGCTCAGTTTGATGTTGCGGTCAAGCAACCTTGAGTTCTGGCTGAAGCATTTGATTGTGGTAGCCTCAACATCCAACCGTATGCAGTCAATAGCACGGAACAGCTACTTTAGGCGGACAAATTCTTATTCATCTTCACACTACCAATTCTACTACTTGTTGAGAGCATGCGCCAACAGCTTCTGTCTTATTGGTCTTCTTGGTGAGCCGGCGAGCAACAGTTGTCTTTTTTCTCATTCTTTTAGTCTTAGCCTTTTGTTCTCTGTCTTCACTTTAACCAGTATCCAGGTTAGGGTTAATGCTGTATTTAAGTCGCTACTTATAGATTCCTTCCTTCATCAGCTTAGTCTTATAAAGCAAGTTATCTTGAGTATTATTAGTTTCTTATCCTTAAGTCTAAAAGATGGTGAAAACTCTTCGAGTTTCAGGACCTAAAGGATTTATTACTCCACAAACTTACAGGGGGGCTTCGGATTACTTAACTCAAACAGTATAGATACAGCCGATGATCGATCTTTGAATGAAACGCTGCCCCATTTCCAAGCATAAAATGGGTCCCCTTGAGCCACATATTTAATCTATAACTAGGTGATATACTCTGGTTAAAAGATTTCCTAGTAACTCTAACTTTCATCTTGCAAATCCTCGCCAGCATGGAGCAAAAGTCAGTGTTGCCACCAGCCAATATTACGGCGGCTGCTTTGTTCCAGACCATTACGTATGTGGTCGTTTCTTGGCTTGCATATCGTATGGTCCTGGCAGCTTATAATATCTCGCCATTTCATCCCTTGCACCGCTTTCCTGGTCCTAGGATTGCTGCAGCAAGCTATTTGTATGAGGCATATCACGATTGGTGGCGTGTAGGGCGTTATGGACATGAAATCCGTCGCATGCACGAGCGCTATGGTAAGTTCAACAGTTCGGTCACCCGGAAAATGTCTTTTGACTTGATTCAGGTCCAATTGTGCGAATCAACCCGGATGAACTTCATTGCTCGGACCCGTACTTCACAGATGAAATCTATGCTGGTCCAGGCCGAATCCGCGACAAATGGCAGCACCAGCTAAACACGGGAGGTGCCGGTCCCGTGTCTGTGACTGGTTTCTCAACAGTTAATCACGAAATTCACCGTATGCGGAAAGGAGCCTTGTCAAAGTATTTCTCTCGCCAGCAGATGCTCAAGCTTGAGGGCGAAGTGAAGGAGTTTGCACAGATGACTGTCGACAAGATGCTTCGATATGCTGGTGGAGAGCCCTTTGACGTGAAGGAAGCTTACAACTGCTTCACGGCAGACATCATGTCTCAGTACGCTTTTGGTGAATCCATGGGCTTCATCGCTCAAGATGGTTGGGAGCCGAATCTGGCTACTTGGGTCAAGTCTTTCTTCCAGAGTGCCTACATGATGAGACATAATGTCTTTGCGAGGAAGATGGCTCAGCTTCTTCCGTTCCTGTCTGACTATTTGGGTGAGGATATCAAAGCAGTCATGAGACAGATGAATGTCGTCATTCCTGGGTACATCGCGGCTGCTTTGAAGAGCCCGGAAGGGGGAAGAGTCTTTGCCGATGTAATGGACTCCAAAGCATTACCAGAGTCAGAAAAGTCTATGTATCGGCTATCGGGAGAGGGGTTCAATTTCCTCCTCGCCGGGACAGAAACTACTGCCGTAAGTAATCAATCTTCTTTCGGATACCACACTGGTACTCACAGGTTTCAACAGGCCATACTGACGGTCATCACCTACTACCTTCTCGCTCAGCCACTGACATATAGACGGTTGATGGCTGCTCTCGAAGGGATCGATCCGCAAACCCTCAAGTGGACCGAGCTCGAGCAACGACCTTATCTTTGGGCCGTCATCCACGAAGCTCTTCGTGTGATGCCTGGTGTATCTCACCGTTCAGCCAGAATTGCCCGCGAGGAAGACTTAGTCTACAAAAGTAAGGATGGCAACGTCGAGTGGGTGATCCCAAGAGGCACTCCAATCGGTATGACTTCAATGATCAATCACTGGGATAAGGACATCTTTCCCAATCCAGACGAGTTCATACCAGAGAGATGGCTAGAGGGAGGGAAGCCCAACTTCAAGCTACAGAAGCTATTGATTGCTTTTGGGAAGGGTAGTCGTGCATGCATTGGGGAAAAGTAAGTTACCCTCTATCAACCTCCGGGATTTGTGCTGACTTCTCTTCAAGCCTCGCTTATTGTGAGGTCTACATCATGGCCGCTTTGCTTGCTTTTCGGCTTATACACAGAGCGCGTCTATATGAGACAACGGTTGATGATATCACATATGATCATGACTTGATTGTAGTACAAACAAAGAAGGGATCTATATCGGTCCGTATTGCTATCTCATAAGCCATGGTCTATGTAGAGGAAGTTGGACCAAAGCTTCATACTACGGGTACCATCAATAGAGACTATCTGCGTCTGTATAGATAAAGCAATATCTACCACTCATCAATATTGGTTGGGCCAAGCAAAGGATCTAAGCGTGTTCGACTTCTGTTACTGCACTCTTCATCTGCGCTTGACTCTTGGCAATGCCAGCAGCAGAGTTCTGGCCATCGAACAGAACGGCAATCTCCTCCAAAGTAGGGCCCTTTGTCTCCACGAAGAAGAAGTAGATCATGAGACACTCGATGACCAGGCTGTAAAACTATGTTAATCCAATTCTGGCATTGAGGCAAGTGAGTAGTGGCTTACATGACAATATAAACGAAATAAAACTTCCATGCGAGCTGCTGCAAGCCAAGAGGATTTACCCACTGGTTGAAAACCCCTGAGAGAGCTGTAAAGCAGAAGCAGAGGGTAAGTCCTTTGGCCCTAATGTTATATGGCAGGATCTCAACAGTATAAGACACCGTCAGTCCAGGCCATGCAGCACCGGCCACGCCGTAGAAGAGGAATATCATGGCAACGACGGCAATACCAGCAGCCGATGATTCAGTCTTTGCGTAGACGGCGCTGCATGCAGTCCAGATGGTAAAGGATATAAGCATGCCAACGCCAGCGAAGAGGAAGAGAACTCTCCGTCCCACACGATCGACAAAGAAGGCGGCGAAGAGAGAAACAAGCCAGCACCAGATTGTCAGGCCGCCGTTAATGTATGCTTGAGTCACAGCACTGAGATTTGTTAGTATCTTTAATTAGCAATTCTGCATACGACTTCACTTACTCCGTAATACCAATGGTTCTCAGAATGGCGGCAAGCTATGATACAAGTGAGCTTACACCCTCAGTGGTATTGTATCTTGGATCCCACTTACATAGTATGAGACAAGACCGTTACCACTGCACTGAGAGAAGATTGCAGTAGCAATAATCAGTCCGCATCGCTTGCGGTTACCTGGCGTGCGCCAAAGCTCGGCCCATCCGTTGTCTGATGTTTCACGTTCGAGTCTGATAGTGTTGACGATTTCGGTATATTCCCATCGGACAAATTCATCGTCATCGTTGCCGTTGCCATGGTACTTGACAAGAATCTTGCGAGCTTCCTCCTCACGTCCTTTGCTGATCAACCATCGGGGGCTCTCGGGCACAATGAAGATGGCCAAAAGCTGGACACCAGGCATGAGGCACTGTAGTCCAGTGGGAAGAACCCACTGGATGTTTCCAGTCTGGTTTCTGAGAGTCCCAAAGCAAACCCAGGCCGCGATGATACTCCCGAGATACCAAAGCGTGTTATAAACGGTTGTGATCTTGCCTCGATGTCGGGGATGGGCGATCTCAGTGATGAGGAGAGGGCAAGTAGCGTTGGAAATGTTGGAGCCACAGCCCATGATGAATCGGCCGACGAGATATAGCGCATCGCGTCGTGGTCCGTGGCCGTTTTGAGGGAAACATTGCATAAGGGCGCCAACAATAACGATGACACAACCAACAGCCGTGCCTTTTTTTCGACCCAGTCCATCGGCGACATAGGGAGCGAAGAGGAGGACAAAGAGACCTCCGAAACCGGGCATGGCGCCAAAGATGCCTAGTCGACTTCCTTCTGGGTGATCAAAGACTATCCCATCGTGTTAGCTGAGAGTAGTGCCAACGTTCAAATAAAGGACTTACAAGCCTGCCACGATCCCATTGTCTGAAGACCATTCAGTAAGCTGGAGTCATAGCCGAGGGTAGTCGAGCCCATGAAGAGAAAGACCATCATAAGGTACAGCTTCCTCAGCTCAGTCTGTTTCCAGAACGGCAACGCTGAGCCCTGAGGAGCTTGTGTCTCCTCTGAAACATCGATATCGGTTTCTTTTGAGGTCATGATGAGCAAGAATGTTGGTGGATTTGCCAATTGGTCAAGGGACTTGGAGTTGAAGCACCTGTTGATCAAGGGATGATCTTGGCTGCTTCCCCGACGGGTTATATATCCAGGACAAGGAAGTGCCTGGCATGAGTGTCTACACTTGACAGCCACATACTATTCAAGAATCAAACCATGAGTCTCGTGACAGCAAGTCACAGCAATGCATCATGGCCTTTGGATGGTACGGGTTCGCCACGCTTTTCCTGTTCTCCCCATGGGGAAGACAAGGTTGAGAAGTTTGTGTTGGGGACTAAATCACAACAGGTTAAGCCACTGTAGGTGGTCCACAGCATGGGGATCTTTGATTGGGCAAGAAGGTCTCAGCTTGACGAATACCTATAGTCGAACCATTCCTGTTCCAGCAAGGCCACCCTAGTATATCCGAGATTTCGGCGAACTGGTCCATACAGACGAGTCTAAAAGAGAGGTGATCCGAATATTCTCCTCGGACTAATTATCTCTCTCTTTTCGCCAGTCGATTCTACGCACAGAGATCCTCAAATTTTACACCGCAGTAAAGCCTTGGATTCAATGACTGACACAGTCGAGGGCCCCCCTGCTGCTGTCTCCGCAAGTGCATCGTTAGCCAGTTCAGGGCAGCGGCCTCGAAACCAAGCGGCTTGTGATGTCTGCAGAGCCAGAAAGATCCGGGTTGGCATCCTCCTGGCGTCCATCATGCCACTGTCTACCCCTCATTGTCTATACACTAACAATGTCGGTAGTGCACGTATAATGCCAGTCATCAGCGATGCCAAGGCTGCGAGTTTCTAAATGTGAACTGTACTCATGAACGTCCAAGAAGGAAGCGTGGACCTCCAAATAAGTCAGTCAATTGTATGTTGACTGCTGATCATATTGGAATACTGATGCAGAATAGACATGCACAAAAATCACACAGGCAGGTTACAGGGACCCCAGGAATCCCCTCTCCAAACAACGTTTCTATCTCACCAGGTGAAAGCAATGATACACGCCAATCAATAACACCACTTCAAAGTCCTCAGGCTCTGAGCCACATCAGCCATCCCTCTATATGCAGTTGCTCTGGACTCAGTAGCAAGTGGCTTTCCGCGTTTGCTCCGGAGCCGATCATTATGCGTCTGCTGGGGGACTGGTTCGATGTGATCCACCCTCTAGCTCCGATCTTACTCCGTCGTCGGTTCCTCCAGCGCCTTCAGCAAGGGGTAGCTGACGTCGACGCCGAGTTCTGCGGGCTTGTCATCAGCGTATGTGCAGCAACCAAAGCGACACTACCCCGGGGTGACTATGGGCCAGTGACTGTAGATTATTGCGTTGGCTTCCTTGATGCTCACGGACTGCTCAAGAGTCAATTTACCCGAGATTCTTTTAGCATTGACAGGTGCATCGCCTTGTACAATGTCGGAACAGCCATGAGCGCCACCACAAAATCAGGGTTGAGCAGTATGCGCGCCTATCACGCGTTGAGCGAGGCCGCTGCAGGGGCCAGGTACCTGGCGTATTATCGGATACACGAGCACGATGAGGCTGAACAGCAGCTCTTGAGAAGACTCATATGGCTATTATTTGCCAGTGCATGGTATGTATCGGCACTGGGAGTGGATGGCTCTGGCAGCGCTAATCAAGTCACATATCACAGTAGTGCGGATATTTTCGGAAGACTACCCATCAGTCTACTCAGTCAAGATCGCATCGAGAACTTTCCAAGACCACTCCCTCTTCCAGATAATCAGATGGAGCCAAAAGCTCCAGACAGCTATCACGAGCCACCTTGGCATGGAGATGAGACCACTTATGTTCCAGGACTGAACTCATTAAGCGACTTGTTCCTCATCTGGCAAGAGGTGCAGCAAGGTCCCGAGGGTGCGGAACCACAGATTACTATCACGAGATATCTTGCAAAGATTCAACAAGTCTTGGATAATCTCCCGCCCGAATTGCGATGGCGCGGTGGTCTGTCTCGTCCCGCTAACGTCACGGAAGGGCACGATGTCCAAATCGCCAATTTATTCGTGACGAGTCTCAACATCCGCTCCAATATTCTTCAGAAATTCGGTCCCACAGCCAATAGCGCACAAGACCATCAGAAGATTGTAGATGACCTGTTGGAGATCCTGTACCATCTTCCCCGCGCTGTTTTTGATGCAAACGGCAGCAGCCTTGTCCCCAAGATTCGGGACATTGGAGCTGCCTACCTCGAACAGTTGGGGAGTGGCGTGGGGGAAGTGGAGATAGGAGATGCGAGGATTAAACTCGAGCGATTACTTCGGAAGCTCGATGATCTAGACTGTTGGCAGGGAATTGGTGTGCTCGACACTCCGCCGTTGAGGGTAGATACGTGACCTGAATACAGTCAATGCTACCCCTACTTCGGGAGGCGTTGCCCCGCACGCAACCCAAGAAAGCCGCAACTATTGGTCGAGACTCGGGCCAATTTCTCCCGGGTTAATGCGGAGTAAGTCCGAGCATCCCTGCAAGCACGGGTACAGCGCTCCGCACTCGAACGCATGATCCACTAACCCTACACTCCATTTTATGCAGTTCGGGAAATACTCAAGGTATTTGAACCATCTACGATTCGATAATATCATCAATTTCATCTTTATCAACTATTGATTTTTATCGTTTTATGTTCCATAATCATGACTGCCACACAGATCCCATCAGCACCAGCCCAGCATGCCTACCCTCATCTTCGGCGGTCCGACAAGGGTTCCGTCCAACTCATGGTCAAGAGTAAACCCTTTTTGATGCTTCCGGGCGAGCTGCACAACTCATCCCTCAGCTCCGCCAAGTTTATGAGTGAAGTTTGGCCGAGAATGAAGTTCGATCATGTCAACACATTGCTCGGTTCTGTAACTTGGGAAATGATCGAGCCCAAGGAAGGCCACTTTGACTTCAGAGAGCTTGATCTAGTCTTGAAAGGCGCCAGAGAACATGATATGCACCTCGTTTTGCTCTGGTTCGGGACATACAAGAACGGACTCTCAACATATGCCCCGGGATGGGTCAAGAGAGATCCCAAACGGTTCCCCCGAGTTCAAGTGCTTGAAGCTGGTGGCGTCAAGAGGACACTCGAGATGATCACTCCTCTATGCAACGCCGCATGCGAGGCTGATTCCCGAGCTTTCGCTGCCCTTCTACGACATCTTGCAGAGGTTGATTCCCAGCACCAGACTGTCTTGATGGTCCAAGTTCAGAATGAGACCGGAGTCCTTGGCGATTCTCGGGATCGATCGCACCGAGCCAACAAAGCGTTTGCTGAACCCATACCAAGTGATCTCCTACAATATCTGAGCCGCGTCGATACCCACTCCAGATTCAAGAAACGCATCTCAAGTGTTCCTTCATCGGGTTCTCATTCCTGGGAGTCCCTGTTTGGGCGTGGAACAGCAGCTGATGAGGCCTTCATGGCGCATCTAATCTCTTCTTACGTGGGACGAGTTGCCGCAGCAGGAAAGGCTGAGTACCCCATCCCTCTGTACACAAACACATGGCTTAACATTGAAGGCCCGTCAGACCTGGACTTTGGTGGCGGCGCGCCAGTTGTGGTTGGTGGCGGTGACAAGCCCGGAATTTACCCATCTGGAGGTCCTTGCCCGCATGTTTTGGATATTTGGCGATTCAACACGCCCTCTCTAGACCTCCTAGCACCGGATCTTTACTTTCACGACTACGAAACTGTCTGTCGGAATTATACAGAACAAGGAAACACTCTTTTCATCCCGGAACAGAGGCGCGACGAATATGGAGCGCGACGCGTCTGGTTGTCCTACGCGACTTACGGTGCTCTTGGGGCTAGTCCGTTTGGCATTGATACGGGCTCTGACATCATTGGCCGTGAATTCAAGCTTCTCAACCAGACCAAGCAATATCTCCTTGATGCCGCACCCGAGGATCGCTTTGGATTTTATTTTGACGAAGAGCCAAGCGACAAGAAGCCAGAACAGTGGACACGTACATTCGGCGACATCAAGGTTATTGTTGAGCGCTGCTTCGTCTTTGGCAAGCCTGGCCCTGGTGCTGGAATGATTATTCACTTGGGCAACTCCAAATTTCTGCTCGTCGGCCGGGGCTTTCACGCCCGATTCAAAGCAGCTCGTGAGGATGCAACCTTTGGTGGGATCCTTTGGGGCGAGGAGAAGGAGGTTGATGAGAATGGAAACCTGCAGACTTTGAGAATATTGAATGGTGACGAGACAAGGCACGGCGAATTCATGATGATGCCTAATGACGATCCGGACTACGGCGGGTTTCCTATTGCTGTTACACCTGGAGCCAGGACTTGTATTGCTGAGGTGGAGGCTTATTGGATTGCCGAGGATGAAGATGACAGATAATTCTTTTGTCGGTAGCCGAGATTACAGTAGCATCCACAGTAATACCAATTCTGTAAACTCACATCGCATTCCCTTGTACATCACGTGTTTCGGACCCATGCTGATCTCAGATCGCCCCTCATCATCATCCACCTCCAGTTCAATGGGGGTTCAAATAATCAACCAAGGCACAAAATTTAATCATTGCGGTAACCATGGCAGACCAAACCTCGGAGTCACCGAATCCGGCAGAAGGAACATCATCGCCCACCGTAGTCTCACCGCCGCAACAGACAGATATCATCGCTGCGAATGATGAGCATGTATGTTGATAAAATACCTCATCATGGTTTAGTCATGAATTTACCTGTTTTGTAGGACAACGAAGATGATGACGATGCCGATTCCACTCTTGGTACAGACGCGTGAGTTATCCCATCAAAATATTCAAGAGTGACTAAATGCAAAATTCTCCTTTAGAGAAAGCTCGACTGCTTCAGTCTCGGCCAGTATCCTCGAATATCGCCGCAGTCAAGGGCGCACGTATCACAGCGATAAGTTCACGACTAACTACTTTTTGCCCAATGACGACCAGCAGCTAGAGTCCGTGGACTTGACGTATGGCCTTTATTCCCCGAAACCATTGTTCCAGGTGGTCTGATCTGCAGTAGTCACCACTATTTGACAATCTTACTCGATGATAAGCTGTTTCTGCCCCCCCTAAAAACAGACGATATCAAAGTTGGTACCTCCGACCAAAGAGAGTTATGGCGATTGCGTTACTGACCGGTTGGTGCTTTGACAGAAAGTGCTTGACGTAGGCACTGGAACTGGTAAGCCCTCCCAAACCTATTCCTATCATGCACTATTAACAAGTGGTATCAGGTATCTGGGCCATGTAAGCGCAATCTTGGTCCCGACCGAAGTCTCTCACTGAAGAATCTAGTGAATTCGCTGACCGTCATCCGAATGTCGAGATTGTTGGTACCGACCTCTCCCCATGTCAACCAGAATGGGTTCCACCAAATGTTCGCTTCGAAATAGACGACGCAGCCCTTAGTTGGACATGGGGAGATGATGAGTTCGATTTCATTCATATCCGTTACATCTTCGGTGCTATCAAAGACTGGTCTGCCCTGTTTTCTGAAGCTTACCGCTGCTGTGTCCCTGGAGGCTGGGTTCAATCCGCTGAAGCTGATGTCGAGTTTCGTTGCGATGATGGCACCATCGACAAAGAGCCAAACCTCAAGATTTATAAGAAGCTGTTTGAAGAAGGAGGAAAGATCCTTGGAAATCCCTTCTTTGTCTATGACCAACAGGTTCAAGGGTTCAATGACGCTGGCTTTGAGGACATCACAACTGTTGACTACAAGGTGACTGCTGCAAGACATTGGTTTCAAAGTGATAATTTATTAACAAGCACCCAGATTCCCGTCGGAGATTGGCCAAAGGATCCCAAGCTCGCCGAAGTTGGGAGATTTGTTCGCGCTTGTTTAGAAAATGATATTGAAGGCAAGTTAAGACCTCTCGCTTTTCACTTACTGCCTAGCTAACAACTGTCCCCAGGATATACCACTATGATGTGGAACGACGTACTGAAGTGGCCCAAGGACGAATACCAGCTGTTCCTGATGAGTATTCGCAAAGCTATCAGGAATCCCAAGATCCATACATACATGAAGGTTCGATACGTATACGGACGCAAGCCATCATTATAGTAGTATGAGACTTATACTATTCGACTATTTCAATTTAAATACATATTATAACATTAAAGAAATACTCCTGAGATCAGCTGCATACAGAAGGGCTAAAAAAACAGACCCTTCTTCTTCCTCCAATCCCACGTAGTTGCCTGTCGCAGGTCATCAACACTGAGAACATCCACGCCCTCCCGTGTCAGAATATGCCAAATATGATTCCTCAGCCCAATAGGCCAAGCTGGCACACCGAAATACCTGGCCTTGAGACCTAATCGATGAGCACCATGGATCTGGGCCCGAATGCGTTGTAATTGCTCTTGCGACAATCGCGAGCCCCAAACATGCCCAACTGCTTTTTTGAAATGAGCAGAAGCATAGTAGCTATTATGAGGGTTGTACTGGTTTGAGAATTTGCTCTTTTCCCCATTGTATCGGCTGACTTGCCTTCGTTCAATGCTGCTCGGCAATACACCTTGCTCGATGCAATTATCCGGCTGTTGAGAGCTTGCAGCTTGAGCTCTGTTTGGATTTGGCCAAATTTGAGACGCATCAGCCAACAACTCCAATGGTGCATCATAAAATACATCACGGTAGGTATCATTTGCTGCTATCTTGTCGAATGGGGTATTTCCTGTGCCGACAATGACCACGGGGCCAGGTACAATGTGCGTACCGTTGAAATGCGTGAGCAGATTTCTGCGTCGCAGTGGCTCGAGTTGTCTCTGAAGCTTCTCCCAGGTTGTGTTTCCTTCTGTTTTGAAATCGATGAGGACCACCAGCGGCCGGTCCGGATCAGACTCGAAAACTCCAGCAGGAGGCTCATTTGCAGTCGAAATGGAATGGCAAGGCATCTCTCGTCCACATGAGAATATATCTCTTTGACGGTCGAAAATTTCGAGTAATGGATTGAGATACATACTTTCCAGGGTATGGTTGACCTGCAGTTGGAAATGACGATGAGCCACGTACAAGTCATCATCCTCCTTCCATACATCAGCTTCGACACTCGGGCAACCTGCAGAAATGGCGTCCAAAAGTGGTACATTCCTCAAATAGTCGTTATGCGAATGGCAACGCACAGGTTGTGTGGTCACTGTGGAGTCGGATAACCAGTGTCCGATACCAATTGTTGCCGCTGCGGAGTCGATCCACGGGTGAACGATCAGGTCCATTTCGTCCGGAAGGTAATGATGCAAGGCATTTCCGAGAATATGGAGCAGGCCACTGTCCGATGAGCTCCCTTATCAGTATGCTACTCTAGGGCTCAGTCTGAATGGGGCAGGAGGATATCGAAACTCACGTCATGGAGAGATAGCTAATAATTAGCAGGCAGAAGATTCTCCGCAGCTTCCTTCGAAACTGGACGACTCGAAGACGTGGCAACGAAGATGCTCCCAATCCTTTGATATGTAAGTTTCGTCGCCTTGGAACGAATTCATTCATATCCAGAGGCCCAGGCCAGTCCGTTAGACTCTCCATTGAACCGCCATCGTTCATGTACTCGACAGATGACTCCAAGTCATGTCGTGGGGCTTGGGAACGCTTCATGATGTTACCCTGCAGTTTGGCATCGGCTGAAGGCTTTGGCAGCAGACTCCTTTTCTTTGAGCCTTTGTTTCTTGATCAAGCACTTGGATACTGTCACATAGCTAACGGAACTCGTAGGAACATAAAGTGGAGTAAGAGAGTTCAAGTGAAAGTCAATCTTCAGTCTGGGTTCCAGCATTACTGCATAGAAGAATACGAGGTGTATGTAATATGCTGCGCCGAGGCCGCGTAAGCACTCCCTGTCTTCTCAAAGATATGGTAGGCGTTTTCACTATCAATTGAAGCAGTAAATGCGGCTCTCGTGTACCAATTGACTTTCGCTGGGGGTGGGGATCGGCGCCCATCCGTGCCGGATTGCCGAGATATCGGCCTAAGACTCTCAGACTCTAGCCAAGGGTGGATTAGCTCATTTAATCTATTTCGTTTCAAGGCTAGCTCACTGTACCTTAAAAACGCCGGTGCTGTCGGAGCTTACGCGGTCTTGGCAACCGTCTCAGAGCCAAGCAGACCAATGGCTACTGAACATCAATTTGGCTTGTTGATAAGCTTAGGGGCTGGTTTCATATTCGTACACAGTACGATGCTTGTGCTTAACAGTCTATGACGAGTTTGATTTGCCACTCAGCATAAGGTTCTTAGTATCAGGTGAATGAATCCCTAATAGATAAGCTACTGTATGTTCAGACACATTATACGCTACAAGAGTATAAACTTCTTGCCTGCTGAGAGAATGCTTGGTTAAGTGGGTGGTTTACTGCAGAGGATAAACTAAGCTTTTTGCCGATGATCTTAAGGTAACGCTAGGGCGTTTTCTTACTTATGATCTGCAAAAAGGTTTCTAGCCTGGAACGATAATCTCAAGGACGGCTCGGATCACCAAACTGTTCATTTCTCGTGGTCATTAGAGTCTTATGATGTCAATGAATGGGTAAGTCTCTTACCTTATTAGTGAACCCTGTCTCATATTAGAACGTGGCTATGCTTGCAGATCTCGGTCATGCTAAAGATAGGGGGTTTAACCGATTTAGGTGGCATTTAGATTTCATCAGTGGGCATATACGATTACGCGGTTAAATAGAAGGGAATGCCAACTCCGAGTTTATTGCAAGTCTTGTTGAAACCACCCTGCCGTTCTTGAAAGATGTCTCATTATATGTCAGAAGCACATTGGTATAACTATTAAGCCGTTAGAGCATAGCTGTTTATCGCTTAACTGTGATATTACAAGATATATAGAGGTTAATTACTTATACTACAGTTTCCTTAGCGTTTATAGATTAATAATAATTGCATTATCTAGCAGAATGGGCATATTGAAATATTATCTACTTATCATTTTATATTAAGCTCTTTAGCTATTGCTTAACTGTCTGATAACGCCCCCGTGCTTAGACCAGGACAGAATGGGGAGACAAGCTCTGAAGTATGCCTAAAAATACACTTCTTGCCGCGCGCTTTACTAGCTGTAACCAACAACTAGTGCCGGCAATTCTCAAAAGCCCGGCATGCTTCTAAATGTCTGAGACTGGCTCGCACAGTCTGTCCTAGTGACGCGTCTTGTTTTCAGTTGTACTTAGGAGTGTACCTCAAATGAATTACGGCAGGAGGGCACGTGCATGAAACACGGCAGTGCAATGTCAGTGATTTTGGTGGATAGGGATCGACCTTTTCGTAACAGTGATCCAATCAGCCATGCACATGGGTGAGATGAGACCGATTGCTGTCAGATAGTAAGTATCGCTTTATGGTTTGATGATCGTATTATTGATAAGTTGGTACTACCACGGTCTTGCATCTGATTATATTATAAAAGACATCGATCCATTTGACAGTTGGCAGCAGTCCAAGTCCCAACTCACTTTGACTTCTATTTCAACATCAATTTTTGCTTCACAGCACCTCTACAAAGTATAACTTCTATCCAAGTCCTATTTGGGGACGATGGATCATCCACATTGGGTGGGGAGCAGAGGCCCCCTTTCCTCAACGCCAGCATCTTCCTCACCACCCTATACCCCAAGCAATGGCGTACTAACACCAACCATCGCTCACTCTGAGTCCGGAACGCAAGTCGAGCTTCAGCCTTATACGGGAAGTGACCGGAGCAAGAGGTATATTCACGTCCATCTGGCGGATCTAAACGACCACGTCATATCTTCGCAAAGCACAAGAAGTGGATGATCGTGTACATGGTGTCCCTAGGCGGAGCGTTTTCCGCCTTGTCATCCAACATTTATTTCCCGGGGATCGATACGATATCCAAAGACCTTGGCGTCAGTGCGACCGACGTTGGTTTCACTATTACCGTGTACATGATTGTTCAAGGAATCGCGCCCTCACTGTATGGCGGCATCTCAGATGCACGCGGTCGACGAATCACATTTGTTGTCGCCCTCGTAGTCTACCTCGCCGCAAACGTGTCTTTGTCTTTCACATGCAACCTGGCCATGCTTGTGGTTCTGCGAGGCTTGCAAGCTGCTGGATCGGCTGCGACGATTAGCATCAGCACTGGTGTGATTGCCGATATCGCTGAACCCGATGAGCGAGCGGGCTTCATGGGAACCAACTCCGGCATAAGGTAGGCACAACTCCAAAGCTACAAGAATTCTTGATTGACAACTTTGATACAGAATGATTGGCCAAGCTATAGGTCCTGTTATTGGTGGACTGCTGAACAGTGCGTGGGGATTCAGAAGCATCTTCTGGTTCCTCTTCGTGTTCAGTGCGTTGGTTCTCTTGGGACTGTTGGTATTTCTACCAGAGACACAGCGGACAATAGCTGGTAATGGCGACGTGCCTCTTGTAGGGTTTTACAAACCCTGGTCTTATTTCTTCCACCCACCCAAGGAATGGACAAACGCTTCTACCCCACCACCAAAGCTAGAGAAGCTCTCTTGGAAGACCATCATTGAGCCATTGACTTATATCTTTAGAAAGGATGTTCTAGCTCTTCTTTCCTGGGGCGCTCTTGTGTACACCATTTGGAGTATGGTCACGTCTTCAACCACAACAGTGCTACTTAAGACTTTCCCCGACCTTACACAATGGCAAGTCGGCCTTTGCTTCCTCCCAAATGGAATCGGATGTGTAATTGGGTCGGTATGTACTGGTCAACTGATGGATCGAGCTTTCAAACGTGCCGAGACTCGATACAAACAAGAGCATGGACTCGTCAACGTCGACGTCAAGTCCTGCCGGGACTTTCCTTTCGAACGTGTCCGGTTATCACTGCTTCCTTATTTCAGCGTGATTTTTATCGTTTCAATGGGGCTGTACGGCCCGAGCTATGAGTTCAATGACCTCAGGAGGCATTTTGCGGGAAATCTGGTTGCATCCCTGGGTCTGCAGTTCATCATCGCATCTACCGCAACGGCCATCTTCAACATTAACTCGACAATATTGGTAGACTACTTCCCGGATAACTCAGCGGGTGCCTCAGCGACAAATAACCTGTGCCGTTGCCTCCTCGGCGCTGCGGGCATCAGCGTCATACAGCCTATGATCGCCAGACTCAAGATCCGGAACGCGTTTCTTGTGCTCACAGCGATTGCTGTTTTATTCTCACCATTGGTCTGGGTTCAATTGAAAATGGCAGAGAAACGGAGAATAAAGAGTCTTGATGCCTAAAAGAATCGCAGTTGTACAAACTATTATTATCGGATAGGAGTTGTAGGTAGTAGTAATGCAATATAGTTGGACATTCTATGTAGTATCTAAGCGCTGCACCTTCACATTAACGATCAAATACATAAGCTTTATTTCCTTGTCTTGGATCTCGGTGTTATCTCCAGCCACTCCCCTGTATCCTCTGTGGATGATCGAGGTAAGAAACTTGCGGGATGAATAAAGTTGAAGATCCCAACGGCGATTACCATCATGGCCCCATCAAGCCCGATAAAGTACTGCTCATGCGTAATAAGGTGTCCCGTCCAACCCTGCACAAGCTCTATAGTGCGGTATATGCTCCTCAGATAGATGCATAACAATGACAGCGTCATGGCACTTAGTATAGGAATGGAAGATTGCTTTCCGGATTTCAACATGCCTCGTCTAGTGGACCGAACCAGAAAGTCGATTGCAAGAGCAACAAAGACGCTCATGGAAGCCAATTGAAAGACTATTCCTGCGACCATGGTGTTCGTACCTGGATCTGTGTTGCCGTTGACTTTGTTCACTTCTACTGAGGCCATACCACCACCGATTGCCTGGACGACCAGGGAAATCGTGTCGCAAGTACAAAATATCCAAAGATATAGACTCGGTCGAAGGATGGAGCAGTCGCGACCGAAAACTTGAATCAAGCGACCAAGGATGATATAGACACCAGCAGTGAAGAAGACGGGGGCTAAATAGTCAGTCGGTTAGCCATTGCCAAGAGGGACTGTCCAGATGATGTCGGGAGTGCATACCGATGATCAGTGTCGAGATCTGCATAAGAAACGCAGTCGAGTTGTAAGGGCATTGAGAGGACCAAGCTCGGCCCGCCCAGCCGATGATTTCGACTATCGTAGCCATTAACCAACGGTCATAGCAATAGATATAGCGGGAAACACATACCCAGTCCACCAATGACAAAGACGCTGCACCACCAGGTTCTAGATCGACCAAGTTGAATTAGGTGTATAATGGTAGAGAGGCCGAACAAGATACAAAAGACAATTCCTGCAGCAGTGGATGGAACGTAGCCATATGAAGTATGGGTGCCCGCTATGTAAGCGTGGCAGCCCTTGCGTAGGTCTTGTTCTGCTGACATGCTGCGTTGGTGCGAGTCAGGAATAGGGGAAACGATTGAATTGGCGAGGAGATGGATTTAAAAGCTGGACTCTAGCGGTTGATTTATACACTTGCCATCGTTGTGAGAACGTACGCCAACCGACCGGGGTCTTTCTCTCCTATTGGTTCATGGATGAGACCATAGTTGGTGTAATCGAGACTGCGATTTTCGCAGTTTGATACCAGAACTCTTCAAGGCCGAAGGCCACGCAGGGTGCGATATTCTGGCACAGCCATCAGTGTTGAGATTGCTTGTAGACCCAGAACCGGAATTTCAAGTAAGCCATCGCCTTATCTTGTAGGAACGTGGGCTTACAAAGCAGACAAATCTGATTGCTCACTGGCCATAACGCGTAAGCAACAACTTATCAGCCCCGCATTTCCTCGGAGTTTGTCTGCCACGACTGTCCTGAACTGCGAACTTCGCAGTTCGGACTTTGACGAAGAGTCGACGCCACCTACAGCGGATTGCCGTTCCCTTTGTCTCAGTCTATCGTAGAGAAACTTGTTGACCATTTCCAGTCTAACATTCCGTCAGCTTTCGCTTGCGCCATTCGCTGTCACTATGCATCCAAGACCTAGCCGCGCAAAAAGCTGTACGGCATGTCGGCAGGCTAAGCTGGCTTGTGATGCTCGCCACAAACCCGCTGGAGTCTCATGCACTAGGTGCAATAAGCGCGGGCTCCAATGTCGGTTTGACTCCAATTTCAAACGAATTCCGACGAGAAAGTTCGTAACTTCCCTGCGGGTTCCAAGAACAATTGGCCAACCCCCATCCTTTAAAACGACTCTAATCCTCATGCTCCCAGTATTGTCGAGGCAATCACCAACTGCATCGACCCTCAGCAGCCGCCTTCTGGTCAATCAAGCAGCATAGAAGCCCATTGTCATACGAAGCAGTCGACAATGACACAAGAACCCGGCATGTCGTCCTCAGCCTCCACGCGCTCCTATAGTCCGTCTTCTCATACCGACTCTGAATATTCAACTGCGCCTATCGGTACTGCTCAATGTACTGCCGAAACTAGCGTTGATGGATGTACCTGGAGCAGAGAGGCATGGCTGCAGCTAAAAGCCGTCGACATACCCTTCAGTTACCAGCTTGGAAGTCTCACCGTGAACAATACAGTCGCTTTGGATCTGTTTCAGCAGTCAGTATTACTATACCCCGAATGCAAATTGAAGCTTGACAGGATACTGAACTGACTCAAGAACTAGCTTCGATAGCTACTATCGTCCGCACGCTAAGTTCTTGCGGCCCATACGTACGTCTTTAAGCCAGTACTCACAATCCTCTCCACATCTTTTCTGGACCATCATCCTCTGTTCTTCTCAAATGCATCCGAAACACGCGCACATGTATTCCTCTATTGTGACAGAGCATGAGGCCATGCTCTCAGCGACCGTTCTTCGTGCGCCACTCAACATCGAGATGATGCATGCCCTACTTTGCCTTTGCTTATGGCCAGTTCCGAAGCTTCGCCTTTGGCAAGACTTGTCCTGGGGATATATAGGGCTTGTTGTCAACTCTGCCATGCAGCTCAATTGTCACCTGCCATCCAACCCGCTACTCAACATACATCTAAGGAGAAATGCCAGCCGTCGCGCTGTGCCAAACATCGACGCTGCTGTGAGGGATACCACCTGGCTGGCGTGCTTTGAGATGAACACTCGGTATGTTCCCTTTGGCTGCTACACTGTTTAAAACACCCGAGGTCCGCTGCTTACACGGCAATACTCTGATAGGCTTAGCGAGTTCTTGGGGTTTCCATCCCTATTCTCGTCTGGATACTTCCTGAACTGTGTATCTCGTGCTCGAGAACAAGCATCAAACATTTTGGACCCGACCGACGACAGGCTATTAGAAATTCGCTTGCTTACTGTGACTTCGATGGCAAAGCTCGATATGATCACAGACCCCGCCCTTCACTATTCCCAGACACAAAGCAGCATTCGCGACTTGGAGATACTGAGAAGCTCAAACCAGCACTCCTGGAATCTCAAAACGAAACTCATTTTGCAAGGCGCAAAACTGTATTTGTTTGCCATGACACTTCTATTGCCTCATCCAAAGGAGCCCGTCGAAGCTCTGCAGGCTATCACTAATCGAAACGCAGTATTGATCAGCGGATTAATGTGTGCTTCGACAATGATATCAGATATGCTCCACCAACTCCACGATAAATCCAGTCAAGGCTCAAAAGATATTATTTGCAGTGTAGCGTTCTGGCCAAAGACACTCATCAGCCACCTGTTCTTTGCAGCGACATTCATTTTCCGGGTTCTTTTGTCACATTCAAGTCTTACCCCGCAGGATATGAACCTGGCTATGTCACGTCTTGCCGATGCACACGCAGTATTTAGGATGGAACCGTTGCATCCAGATCGCACACGGGCTGCTGATATTATCCAGCGGTTGATAGAAGTTGCGCGCGCTTATGTAACGAAAGACAAAGACAAAAATGACACCAAGGACCTGCTCCCGAGAGGCCTCCTCGTGACTGGTCGCTTGGGGGCATCAGTCATGTTTGATGCCGTTCTACGATCTGTGCACTATCAAAAACAAAGTGCACAGAGATGCAAGTCCCGTGCACCAATTGAAGTTGGTATGTATCAGACCGGCGCGCCTAACGTTGGAGCAGAGTTTTGTGCAGGCGAAGAGGCTGGTTCGAGCATCGGATTGATAGAGCAGCGTCAATCTGCACAAGTCTATACAAATCCACCCGATGCTCAAGTTGAAGCCGGGTTTGGTGATTTGTTTGATTTTGAATTTATGGATTCCTACGAGTACATTATGAGCGCCGACGCGTCCCTGATGTTTGGTAATTTGGAGTATTGAGGCTTCACGACTTGACAGTCTCTATCGTATCAAGCATACCATTGCATCTAATATTCCTATCATTGATCAAGCCTCCATCACCGTGAACTTGTGACGTGATACCAGCAATATTTTCAGGCAGCCAACTAAATGGCGTTTGAGATGCGAGAGGGTGTATTGGTTAAATGCATTACTGCTACTATGCAAACCGAGAAGATATTATGAGTGGAATGCAATTAAAGAGGGGTGGGTGGTGACACCAATTGTAATTTGACAGCTGACGCATTAGGCAGAAGTGCAAATCACTCATCAATTTTCAAAGATCATCAACATCGCCACCACCACCTGCCTCAACGTTACTCCTCATTATAATAATACAGCCCTGCGTTTCTCACCGCATCGCAGCCACCATGCACTCCCGAACACTTCAAAAGACGGGTCCTCTGTCCACCGTCTCTCCTCATTCTACAGCCCTGCAACACCTAGAAACTACCCGGGGTGCCGGGAATGTTGTAATGGTATACCTCCTATTCTTCATACTTACAAAATATCACTGACCTATTGATAGCACCCTGAAGTGTCAATTCCGATTCGAGAAGTTTTATCCCAATGGTTATGCGTGCGTATGCGATTACCATCTTACTGTCTACATCCCTGACTCTCCCTAGTGTAATTGTTGTTCTGGCTGGATCAGTCTCTCTATCAACCCCGACTGCCCAGATTGCGGGCATCGTCGTTGCCCAAGCTGTTCATACTGCTAAGCCTCGGAATATTCTTCGGCATGGATGTGCCAACAGACCGTGTCAATATGGCCAGTTTAAACTCATCAGCTTATGCATGGAACCAAGAGTTCTTCGACCGACAGATTCAAAAGTATCCAGCAGAAAATAGACCGGCAGTCGCGACCTTCTCAGGCGTCTACGATCTCATTAAAAAATTCCTTTCGGCATCTGGTGGTATGGAGGGGTTCCTTGGGCCCAGCACATACCACATGTTGGAGCTCGAGCCTTTCTGCAAGCCATGCAGAATGGACGATATGATAGCTGGAACTGACCCTCGTGTGACTCAGCCTATTGCTCTTCTGGATGATCGATGCCGACGAATGCATCACTCTGAACCACCAGGTGGTCACATCCGTCGTGACCGTGGGCCCTTAAGTTCCTCGCAATTATTACAAGAACTTAAAAAAAGTGTAAGTCAGAAAAGTCTAGCCAGTTAGAATCGTGACTAACTGTGAAAATTGAAGCGGTATGGGTGCATTGGTGAAACTGATGCTGCGAGGCGACTACTGTGAGGCATTTTCTATCATCATACGATTTTTTCATTTGCTGACTATTACTCTCAGCTATGTGGCTAACCCAGACTGCTGGGTGATTATGGCGTTAGCTTCAACTGCTTCTAGTGTCCAGGCTACATTTCTAGCAGACTTCTTTTATAAATACCTGGGGTCCAGAACATCACTGGGTATCCATAGACCCATGCGGGGACCACTCGTATTTGGGCTTGAATTCCATCTGCAATTCTACGTCTGGTGTGAAGGTGGCCCACAGTTCCCTGATCTTAGAAAGAAGCGGAATGGAAAGCCTCTGCGCCAGAGTCGCCAGCCCCATTACCTCAAATTAGGTGATGCAAATGAGCCACAGGTTCATATCTATGAAACTCAGGTATCATGTCTCATAGCAGGTATAGATGAGGACTCGTGGGTTGCATATCAGTTCGTTGATACTTACTACCAAGGGAAGAAACCACTTGAGCAAGCTGAAGAGAATGGTGTTAAGCCAGATCCCTTAACAGGGGGGCTTTTTGATGCAAATCTCCCGATCTGGACCCCGAGGGAGTATTTCCTTATCGTCTACGAGTGTCGACTTAAACAAGTCAGGCATGCTATGCACAACTTGGTCGCAAGACTGCTTCTAAGATTGGAGCCATATGTATGTGACCCAAGGTATACAAAATACCCTGAGTGGAGCACTTACTTGGATTTAGACTCAGGACGAAGGGGATATGGCAGCCTTTTCGGGTAAGGGAATCGTGGAGACAATGGCCCAGAAGAAGTTGACGCAGCGAGTCCTCAACGAAGCAAACCGATTTTTACCACAGACTATCCACTCTATCTGCAAAGCTATTGAGGTTTGGGATAGATTTAGCCGAAGAGATCTTGCCTACCTCGCAGATATACTGAAGTCTGATTCTAAGAAGAGCCCAATCCCATCAGTCAAGGTAGTTACCATGATAGAAGATCACATCGATGCATTGCGAGACCTCCAACGACGCGCAGAAGAACAAAGAGACTTGTGCGCAGGGCTTGCTCGAAAGGTATGTGAGGAGAGTCGACAAGAGGGGACGAACTTTCGCGGAGAGGCTTACAGAAGTAGCTGGAAATGCAGATTGTAATGGAGGATAATGAAGTCACGGCCCGACAGCAAGCAGGGACTGAGATGACAAGATACTGGACTGGTATTGGTTTGGTAGGTACAAGCAGTCTGATTCTGTATATCAAGACGTTAACCTCAACCATAGGTCTTTCTACCGCTCACAGCTGTTACTGGTATATTCAGTATGCAGGCGGGCATTTTGCCGGAATCGTTTTATAAGTGGTGGATTTTTATTATTTTCTGGATTGTGATCACGCTTCTCGTTATTCTGGCTGTCGAATTCAGATCATTATGTTCTTCAATCCCAACATTGGGCAGCGAGTGTTCTTGCAGTAGAACTTCTTCCCCCTGGTATCCTTTTACATCAAGATTATCTCTATCGTCGTTGACGGACTTTCCTGCTGAGATTGAGCTCACCACAAGGTCCCCGGGTAGGACTGTTTAGAGTGGAGCTTTCTGGGGTCCTTCATTTTCCCCAGACATCATGAGATGGTGCGACCTCATTCATGGCTCTCATTGGTGCGGCAGTGTTTTTCCAGAAGCGATCCATGGACGATCAGCTTGACACGATATTCAGTGGAGAATGATGGGTGCTTAACTGGATAAGCATATTAACCCAAGCTCCATACGGTATTTCGGAAGCACCAGCTCCATCAATTGGAGCAAACTGCCATTGGCCCGTACCGGCAAAATAGAGTTTCAGATGCTGATCCCCGGTTTAGCCTAATACCACTTTCTGCCGTGACCTCATGCCTTGATCGTATAAGACCATCGTGATGTCTTTTAAGATTCATTTTTCGTAAACAGTTGATTTTCTATTAGTGGCAATTGAGGTCTTGACTGCCGATATGTTTGATCGCATCAAGACAAAGGCTCTTCTAGTAGCCTGCCTGGTTTTCTCAGGCTCAGCATTACCCAATGGCAATGACAAGCGCCATTGGGTAGGCACCTGGGCGTCGATGCCTCAGGAAGTTGAGCCTGCAAACTTAGCCCCAGCTCCTTTTGTACGTTTTCATCCAGGACTGATGAAGCCTCTTGCAAAGCCCTCAAGTACTAATGAATGACTTTGCGACAGGGAGGAGCAGATGCAGCAGCTCAATTCGAAAATACTACTCTTCGCCAAACATTTCACATGTCCATTGGAGCTGAGAAGATCCGTATTCGATTTTCCAACATCTTTGGCAAAACAGACTTGCCCATCAATGCGGCATCGATTGCTCTACCAGCCGGTGGAAAGGCAGGTGTCGGTCAAATCGATACCAAGACCACGAAGCAGCTCAAGTTCAAGGGAAAGAAGTCCGTGTCTGTCCCAGCAGGAGAGATTGTGTACTCTGATCCCATCGACTTCAAGCTGAAGCCTCTGTCCAACCTCGCATTGTCTGTTTACACCGAGAAGGGTCAGCTTGGAAACAAGATTACCGGACACCCTGGCAGTCGAACGACGTCTTGGATGCAAAAGGGGAACCATGTCAACGCTGCATCTGTATCTGAGGGAAGCACCAAACATTGGTATTTTGCGAACGGGGTTGACTCGTGGGCACCCAAGGACCACTTCGCTGTTGTACTTCTAGGAGACAGTATCACCGATGGCCGTGGAAGTACGGACGACACCAACGATCGGTAAGACGAGTTTCCGGCCCCTCAGTATCTTTGCTTACAATTTCCAGATGGTCCGATGCTCTTGCAGCTCATTTGCAAGAATCTGGCATGTCAAATGTCGCTGTGAACAACATGGCAGCAGGTGGCAATGCTATCCTCTCAGGCGGTCTGGGACCTATTCTGCTCCAACGATATAAGCGAGATGCCCTGGAGCAACCAGGTGCCAAATTCGTCGTTGTCTTCGAAGGGGTCAATGACATCGGACCATCCGCGACCGACGATGCTACCCAAAAGAGGATCAAAGACGGCCTCATCGCAGCGTATATACAAATCGCGAAGGATAGTAAGAAGGCAGGTATGACCACCATTGGGGCGACAATCACACAGATGCTTGGAAACCAGTACTACGCTCCCGAAAGAGAGGTTACTCGAGTCGTGATCAACGACTGGATCTTGAAAAACGGGACTTTTGACCATACTGTCGACTTCGCCGCTTTGATCGGAAATGGAGATAAGCTGCTCCCTCAGTATGACTCTGGCGACGGTCTGCATCCCAACCCTGCGGCATACAAGGTAATGGGCACAAAGTTTCCAATTGAGCTTTTTAAGAAATAGCTATATATTTAAGCACAGGAGACCTTAAAGAGGAAGGCTAATAATAAGAAAATATATCGTTTACAATGTTCTTCAATGCAAGACTGACACTATGGGGACGACTGCCGCCTATAAGGTTAACCCTTAGGATGACACAAATGGGTACATGCGGAGTATAGAAGGCCAGAATGGACAAACTTTCGCCTCCAACAAGTCTTTTTCCGATTTGATCGAACCCACATCAGATAAGACTAGCCTGGATTGCGTGACTGTGCTGCTTGCGCATCTGGCTGCCACTTGGACCTCGCAATCAAGTTCAGGAAGAAGTTACCCGGCCACCCCAGTATCTTTCGAGTTTGTGTAATTTCCCTTGCAGATATTCAAGCCCTACGAGGTAAAGGCCGATGGGCAGCTAGAGACGCTAAACTCGGGACGGGCGGTCGGTTGCCCGGGCCTTACAGTTAAGGCCTAGCCTCCAAGAGCTGATGGTCTCTCATTCGTTCGCTGGGTTATCCTGGTTTCAGCTGAATCCAACCCCAGCCTAAGTTCTCGGGACTCCCGGCTAGGCGGATTGAAGGTTGTTTGCAGATTCTTTAGAGATGTTTAGTCGACAGCGTCAACTTCATGCCGTCCGAAGATGAAAAGCATTGTAATGAAGGTGATCTCAATTCGAAGTAGAATGTGTGCGTTTCAAATTGTTCGAAATTCTCATACCTGCGGCGCTGATATTTGAGTTGATATCCAGCTTGGGGAGGTGGGCTGACCAGTAGACAGGCATCTGAGACACACCAAGCAGGGATATAGATATCACAACCAACAGATGGAACCTCGTCGTGCATATATGTACCAGAGAAAGTCGTCAACCAACAGTTTCAACCTCTTCCCCAATAAAATCCATCACTATCTACTCTCTTCTTGAATCGTACTTTGAAGATGTCTTGGGATCGTGACGACTTAGATAAGAAGGGCTTCTTCTTCGATGACTCTATCCGCACTACGATTCCGTGGGCCCCATTCCCGCCCCACGTCGAAACCCTCCGACAGTTAATGCTAGACTTCACATGTCAAGACTTCGACGTGACTTCTGAAGAAGATGCCGCCATACAGCATGAGGCTAAGAGATACTCTGAAGGTGGGTACTCTGAGAGTGATTGGGAAGATTTCTTTCGAAAAAACTTCTTTGACCTACTTGTCCAAACGGCCTCAGGGTCACCGAAAGACTCACGCAGGTCAGTGCAGATTCGCATCTAAAGGCAAGTTACTGATATTTACCCTATCAGAGTTTCACGATATAAGTATTACTACGATACGGTCGTATTGTAAGTATTGCAAGAATGAATCTGGAAGATAGATGCCTATTAAAAAAATGAACAGCGACACCGACGCTTTGTGGGAAACCTTCAATGGAAAAGGTGACGAGGTCGACGATTCAACAGTCCGCCGATTCGAGACTGTGAAATGCCCTAAACCCGACTATGCATTCTATCTTCTAATATACTATCTTAGTACTAACTCCCATATACCTAGAATTACCGACTATAGAGCCCGAGAGTGGCATAAAGAACCAACGCTATCCCTTATAGAGTCATTCTTATGGTCTAACCTGAAGATGCTTTATAATAATGGTCTTCGCCCTACTCTATTTTATATCTTTAATAAGGAGTCCCGCAAAAAGGATCTTAAATGTTATCTATGGCTTCTTATTAAATATAAGAAGGAAAAGTATACAGTTTTTGAATATAACCGGTTAGAGGAGACCGTATATTGCCAGGCGGCTAATGGCAGCGTAAGTGCTATTAAGCTGAACCAAATTGCAGTAAGATATACCATCGAGCTGCCCGATAAGGCATATATTCCTCTGATCCCAGTTATAACCACAGTCAGACCTAAAGTTAAGGTTTGGATAATATACCTTGCCAAAGACTGTATAGTACTCTATTAGGGTAGATATCTTTGGTCTTTAAGATAGGAGAAATGCAGTCAGGCTTATATAAGTATGGAGCTTAAAAATTGCCCTTTTTTTACTGACTATTTCTTTTAGATAATAAAATGTGTCTAGAAAGGTAATATGACTATTCCTTGAGATATTGTAAAGTTTCGGCTTATCCTTGAAAATTTATATACCTGGGTAACACGAGTGTTTAAACCCTTAATAACGACATATATTGATCAGTGGAGATTTGTGCACTCTAGAGGTGGCTTAGGCCCTACAAGCGCAACTATCGCATTGGCATGCCGCCAACAGGCCATGGAACTCTCAGGGAGTGCGCTCCCGCTGATTCAAGGTGTTCTAGATCGTCAGTCAAGCTTCGAGCTTGACGATAGTCTGCACCATCGCCTTACACCGATGCTGATGGGCGTCCTCGTTCAACAGATATGTGCTGCAGAGCGCCAGACGCTTACTCGAGAGATAGATCGCATCGTTGCCGAGAAGGTTAGAGCTTTAACCTTGAATTCTGGAACATCTTCGTGTCCATGCAGATCCAACACAAGGACAGACACAACAGACGAACCGACCCAAGAACCAAGTCAAGCCACGACAATCAGTGTCGAAGAGCCTAAGGACGATGACTATATAGACTCCCAGCCTCGTAGGTCTGGGAGCGACGGATCCACCTCTTCAACTCCGACGGGAGGGCTACGACGAAGTACGCGATTGAACCCGCAGGTGCCTTCTCTTGATTCAAGCACGCCATCTGGTCAGACACCTAGAACTCCTGATTCAGGGTCAAGAGCAGGAAAGACACCCCTATTTCCTTCGTTACCTAAGGCACCAGAGAGCCAGAGCAGCTATTCGAGGCCAGTGGTCGAAAGTGAACCAGAAAGCGAGCCTGCATGGAGCCCTCCATCTGGAGATGGAGATACAAATACTCCGGATGGCGAGGTGACCCCTCTGCCTTCACCATCGGCTGCATCTTCAACTATATTTACACCGACCGACAATAGATCTGCGCGAAGCCCAGTGCTAAGCTTGTCACCACCAGGTCCAGCCCCAGCTCTGAGACCAGTGAGCCCGTCATCTACGCCCCTGTCAACAGGCATCTTTTTGTTTCGGGGCATTCCACCAACAAATTCAGTTGCTAAGTTCAAATGCGGAGGATGCGGAATGGCAAGAAATCTCTTTCACCCCTGTCCCGACGAGAAATGTTCTTCCAGGGTAGACAGGGCGAAATTGGGCGGAACTTGAAGATATAAATCAGTCATACTAAGCCAGAACCTCCGCGAAAGTATAAAGACTTTAAATATTATTGCTAGGGAGGGAGGAGGGAACCCAAGATAGGCTAGATTGTACCAAACATGAGTATCTCCAAATCTGCATACCTTGGCTTTATGGCTGTCCGTATTATCAGCGTTGCCCAATCATAGTCACACACTTTCTTACAAACCCCGCACGGCACATTCAGCTGCTTTTGATTCTTACCCTGGCATAAGTCCCGACTTTTTGTCCATTAGTCCATTCCCAAATATGCCACCAGCCAATGCTTTCACATCGTGCGAGGCATGTAGGTATGTCTACCAGACCTTATCCCAGCTCTATAGTCATAACTAAGTGGTCGGTAGGCGCCTTAAGCGTAGATGCTCAAGAGATACCCCATCATGCCGTCTGGTAAGTACTCACTTCTGTCGGCTTAGGTATGCAAGTCTCAGATCTCTGTCTAGTGTATTCGACTAGGCAAGACATGCAAATATGGAACAGAACATGCCATTTCTAGTCAGAGAGCCTCCACCAACGGCTTAGTGCGTCAGGAATACACAGATGCTGCTACGGAACTAAGCCTGCACCGAACAGACAACTTCCCGTACTCGTACTTTTTGGACTCCGATTTATTCCAACCAATATCACGAGACATATTGACAATGCATGACGGCCCGTTTTTTGTCGAGCAACAAAGACGCTTTGCAATAGCTGGTACATGTGGCTCTTTGATAGAACACTACGAGAATACCATCCACCACTGGCTGCCCATTCTCAGTATCAAGCGCCTGAAGCAAACCGCAAAAGCTCTAGGGGATCCAACTCGGGGAGTCGTTGACGTCCTGGTTTTCGTGGCCCTTGAGGCTCTCGTTAGTCATGGTGATCAGCCCACCTCGTTGCCGCAAAGTAACCCTTCATATTTAAAGGCAAAGCATGGCAGTTTTATCGCGGAGAGTGGGGGAACCATTAATATTCGACTGATACAGACCATTGTTCTAGTAGCCTTGTATGAGCTTGGCCATAGTATCTACCCTGCCGCATATTTAACGATAGGACAAGCTGTGCGACTAGCTACCATGGTTGGACTACACAGTCAAAAAGATGCAAAACAATTGTTCGTGGAGCCGGAAACATGGACATTATGCGAAGAGCAGAGACGGACTTGGTGGGCCATCGTAATGCTTGACAGGTATGTGCAGACCCCATGTGTCATGGGAATTTAATCATTGAGTGTTCCTAGAGTTGTTGTTGCAGGCTCCCCTCGACTCCTGATGGCTGCTCCAGATCCGAACGCGAATGATCTTCTTCCTTGCAACGACGACGATTGGACGAATGGGCGAATAGGTTTCAATGAAGCACTATTCACGCGCAACTTCCATTCACCCTCGTCCGTGGGGCATTTCGCAAGAGTATGCCAAGCTGTTCATATGTTTGGGAAGATCCTTCATCACATAAAAGCCAGAGAAAAAGATACTGACCCAGTTGAACTTACTGCCGAGGCCTTGCAGTTACATATCGTCTTGACAGCGTTAGATCAAGGCATCATGAGCAACGACTGCGACATTGCGACGGCGCATGGAAGCTTGCATTCAGCGTTATCGCTGTGCAGTTTGGCTCGACTGCTTCTATACAATGAGTACGCATGTAACGAGCCCAGCTTCAGTACGGCACGCGAGAGGCTTGCAGAAGAGGTTGAAATGCAGCAGATATCCTTGGAGGGCATACAAGACATTGTTTCCAAGACGATACCCCGGATGGCGAGGCAAATAGTTTCGGCGAGCCAACAGCAATCCAAAGGGCCGAGACATTCACCCATCTTGGCTGGCTGCCTGTATCATGCAGCGACAGAGTGCGCATGGTTCGTCAAAGAGAACAATGATGCGGAGATGGTTGCGGGGTTAGACGCTATCACGCATGCACTTCAGGCTCTAAAGCCCGAGTGGTCTGTTTGCAGTAAGCTCCTACATTTTGACCAAAAGATTTGCAAGACAGCTGATCAACCCTACGCAGATGAATATCTTTCGTATTTGGAGGGCAACAAAATGCAAAATTGACATCATTTCAAGGATAATAGGGCCGATAGAAGTTGAGACAGTCAATCATTATTTTTCTGTCTGGCCGCAATGGCCTCGCATTCCCGCTCTGCCCGCCCTGCTTACCCCGAGGTCTACAGCGAGCTCAAGCCCCGCTTCCACTCTGCCCGCTCCGACGCTGACATTCCCGCATGCCTCCACTCTTTGGCCGTTGTCCCCAAAATACGCCAAAGCAACATAATGCCGAATTCTCTCCTAAGAGATCCGTCAATTGTTATAAAAAGCGCAGGATGTTCCCTTATATTTTCTTCCATTCTGTCTTCAGCATATCTCACACCATTTCCTCCACCAATATTCCTTCTCGCATTTTATATCTGCTCCCAACTGTTACTCTTTGTTCTGTCGTCATGTCCCAGCTTGTTTGGCTTGTCACTGGCTGCTCTTCCGGTTTTGGGTCGGAGTTTGTGCGTCAGATCCTATCCCGGGGCGACAAAATCATTGCAACTGCCCGAAACAGTGCAAGGATTGAATCGCTTGCAAGTCAAGGAGCAGCTGTCCTTGAGCTAGATGTCACGGACTCGCAAGACAAGATTGACCAAATCATTGCCGAAGCCATTGCTATCTATGGGCGCATCGATGTATTGGTTAATAATGCTGGTTTTGTAGCTGCTGGCTCTTGGGAAGATCTCAGGTGGTCTTCCTAACAAGTATTTCGCATTGTCGACCTTGCTAACATATCCAGCTACAATGAATTCGTTTCCTCCTTCGAAACCAACGTCTTTGGTCCAATCAAGATCACGCGTGCAGTGCTTCTGCATATGAGAGCTCGGAAATCAGGGACTATGGTCTTTATTAGTTCGTTGTCTGGCTGGGTCGGGCATCAGTTTACTGGAGCTTATGCGGGTTCAAAGTTTGCTCTTGAAGGTCGGTTGCTTGGAATTTGACCCCGACAATATTTCCATCCCAGTTCTGACATAAAAGTTAGGTGTTGTTGAAAGTCTGCACAACGAAACCAAGTCCCTTGGTCTTCGCACCCTCTTGATGGAACCCGGACGCTTTCGAACTCCTCTCCTGTCGACGGGCCATCTTCAGCCAAAGCAGAGTCAAATTGCCGATTATGAATCAGCTTCAGAGACTCATCATAATCATCTTCATGGTGGAGACTTGAAGCAGCCTGGAAATCCAGAAAGGTTTGTCGAGATTGTACTTGACCTGGTCAGACAAGAGGGTTGCGCAGAAGGGAAAAGCATCCCGTTTCGTCTCCCTGTTGGGAAAGATGCGGTAGAAGAGATTGGGGCCAAAGTAAGGGATGTTTTGGAGACAATGCAGGAGTGGGACTCTATTATAACAGAAACCGACTACTAACGGGCGCAATGGGGATGATTACTCTAAGTAATTAAATATTGCCTTCATTGAGGTTTTGCAATTATGTTCTTGTTTCCATGTGAAAGAACCGAGTGGGATATCAAGTGGGATATCACGTGCAACAGCAGCTCCCATTCAATCGGCATTAGACGTGCAAACTGCATCCCACTCTGGGTATCCCACTCAGTGGGTCTCCATTTACGGCCGTTCCTTTCATGTTGGGTCCAAGCTCGCGCTTTGATCAGTTGCATTACTATCCCACCGGATATCTTTGTCATAATAAGGTTCAATCCAATGGCGGCATAGCCGCAAGCATGACGAAACATACGTAAAAGCAATTCGGGACGATTTCAGAATAATTAGAACATCAGATAAACCCTGCAGATCTGCATGTATAAGTACAATGTTGCATTCCGCCTCAAAAACAGCTGGCCACCATCCTCATTCACATTTCATCGTGCACCTTGAATCGACGAAACACAAGTCCAACAATCACCATGCAATCCAAGATCGCTCTTCTCGGCTTGGCCGTTCACGCTAGCCTCGCGTTCTCAATCCCTCGTCCTTACACTTGTCCATCGATTTCTGGCAACAAGACGATTGATGCGTACCAGTTGTACCCAGAGAATGTTGACTTCGATACGCGCCGTTGTCTTGTGTACTCCAGGTTAGTCCTGATCGAAGATCAAAAAAAGTAATGAAACCAAGGCCTGACACTTTGTATAGCGTCTTGTACAATGCAACTGCTGTCGCCTGGGACCCCTACCGTGGAAAGATAGTGCATACTTTCGAGGCTCCCGGGCTCAGCGGTAATCCTCTGCTCCATTCAAGCGGTGTTCGTGTCGACACTCTAGACAGACTCTCCGTAGTTATCGATGCAGGCGCTGCTTTCGATACCGCTGGTCAGAATATCCAGGGCGACAACTTGCTTGTCAAGTTCGACCTTGTAGACAATTCTTTGCTGTGGCGAGCGAACCTCACCAAGGCGACCGCTGGTGTATACGGCGGTTTTCAAGACAGCGAAAGCGATGATGAAGGCAACACTTTCGTTCTCGGAACCTTTCCGAGCAGTCTCATCAAAGTCAGCGCAGATGGAAAGTCGGTCGCCCCATGGTATCTCGTCGAGCCAGCCAACCATACCATTCACGGCTTCTCGGGAATTTCCCGCAAAGGCGATACACTCTTGGTGACTGATAACACGGATGGTCAGCTTTACACATTTGATATCAAGGCAGCGAAGGGCAAGCCGATCCGTGTTCCAACATCCAAGAATGGCAAGGCCTTGGGTCAAAATCTCGACGGTTTGCATTTGCCCTCACTTTACGCCGGTACTGTTGTTCTAGTCAGCGATAATACCAACGGCACTGTTGTTTTGCGATCCAGCAATGGAAAGTGGGAGTCTGCTGAGAATCTCGGAACCATCCCCAATCCTTACCTCAGCCAAGGCGGATTCACTGTTGCATCTGTGCAGATATCTGATAGCATTTATGCTGTCACTGAGTTCTTTGGCGATGCTATCAATGGAACCCTCCCTGGCAACAGGACATCTTTCCCCTTGAGAGACATCACAGAGGAGGTAGAGACGCTTTTGAAAGCCTAGGTATTATAAGCAGTTAAGGACTAAGTGGTATTGGTCTTGAATGGACAGCAAATTACTTTCAGAGGCCCTTCAATATAGAGCGCTAGGAACACAATGGGGTTATTTAAAGGGGTTGTGTATATTTTTCCATAGATACGAAAAGACTCATCCTGAGAACTTTAATATAGTCATTGCAGTTTATTAAGAAAGACCTAATACCTTCCTCTTGTAATGTTTTAGAACAAAAATCTCAAGACTTACCTTTTCATTATCTCTCAGTCTCCTTTCTACAGGTTGTCTAAAAGCTTCAGCCCATCAGCCAAAGACTCGCAGCACTCAAAACGTCTTAAAGCGTTCTCTCCAATGTTCCATCTGAGCGCGCTTATAACCAGACGCAGCTGCATCATCAGCGTCATCGCTGTCGTCGAAATCACGCTTCTTCGCCGTTTGACTTCTTACCAGAAATTCGAAGCACTGAGATCTGAGTAGTGAGATCTTCGCTGATGGGTTCCAGCAAATCTATATCCATACCCGCCGAGTTAGATGCTCCGTCATCCCCAGACTCAGCTTCTTCGCTTTCAGACCCTTCACCTTCATATTGGTCGTCACCAGATTCTCCGTCTTCAGATTCTTCATCTGCAGATTCTTCCTTTTCAGACCCCTCCTCTTGAGACTCATCATCCTCAGATTCATCATACCACGGATTATATGCCCTACGGTCATACTCTGTCTCTTTCCAGTATTTTAAGTCTCTCATGTGTTCTCGTTCATGCCACTCGGCCAACTGTCTCGACTCTTCGCACAACTTCTCAAAATGCTCTGCTTTATATTCATCAAGGAGAATCTTAGCCTCTTTGTCTGCCTCATCGTGAGTCATGTTTCTGTCCCCAGAATATTTACGCAGGAGAATGTAATGCAGTGAATACCGTTCTGTGTAGTCGAAGGGTTTTAGGAGCGAGAAACTGCGCTCGATTGTAACAGGACAGAATGTAAGTAATTCTAAATCCACAGGGGGGGATTTTTTTCGAACGCCAGTCAACGCTTCCAGCTCCCTGTCGATTGTCCATTTAAACTGAGTTAAACGTTTGTCTTCTGGTGTTTCATTTGCAGGCGTAGCATGATCGCTATAATTTCCTGGCGTATTGATCCCTCGGCAGGAATTTTGAGCGCCTCGTCAAGCCAGTTCTCATTTGCTGTAAGCTGTAACAGGTTGCTCCTCTTCAAGAATTTCCCATATTTATTGTCTAAGTGCTGCATGATTTCGGAAAGTCTTGTCTCCTGTTCATGAGCTCTTGGGTTCAAATCGCAGTGTTTGTAATATCGGAGTGCTTGACTCAGGAAGTCTTCTGGGTTCAGAACCGCGAGGCTTTGCTCGATGATGTTGTGGGTGAGGTCTACCGGGATGTGTTCATGAACGCTATTAAAACGACGGACTCCCCCACCTCCGAAGATTGACTCAAACAATCTCTACAGTGAGTATGTCCGTTGTTCGCGGTGCATTGGATCCATTTTCAGTTCTTGTTGACTTGGTAAAATCCTATAATATGTATGTGTTTTGTTGCTATTAGTTTGTAGTTGCTTTTGTTTATGAGGGAGCTTTAATTAAGAAAGACTTGAGTATTTATATTATAAGCAGTACTATTCAGTCAGGATTTTTCTGTTGTATTACATTACCAGGCGCTAAAGGCGAACATTATTCTTTCCTGTTAAGCCTCCCCCAATGGTAAATATTAAAGTGTAGTAGTGAACACAGTACTGTCTTTTAACCTTTTTATATTCTAGTATTCTTCTGGTAGCTTATAATCTATTTCAGTACATTCCCTTTGTTCTTTGTTCTTTATTTAGCAAAGCTCTATAACCTGTCAATACTTATTAAGGTTCTTGGCTATAGGTCTTATTTGCAAATCACACATCTGGCTCTTTATTTAGAACGAGTTTTAACTACAACCTACTGGTTCAAGACGATTTACTTTATTAGGTCCCGCTGACGGCCGGCGTGCTGCCTGTTAATGTTCTTTCTTTATACTAAACATACTTAAGCTACTACTTCTTTTTAATCATAGCTCAAGGGCGTACATTGTGACTATGCTAAATCGATAATCCTCAATTAATCCCTTTTGTGAGACCAAATCAGCCTAGTTAGGTGTAAACTCAATGATAGATGGTCTGAAGCCCAAGATTATGCCCTCACAGCCTGGCGGAGTGAAGCTTTCCCACTTTGTAATATGGACACTTGTCAGTCTGTAGCCTGGTGGTGCAGCACAGCCATAGTATGATCCATGCTTTCCACTACCACATTCCAAAGCCTTATCTTTGTTGTTCCAAAATCTGACCTTTCCAAGTTTCTGTCCGTAGTAAACGCTGACCCAGTAGAAGTATTCGTCCTCAGCAAGGTCGAGTTGTTTTGGCGCACCCCCAGTAGTCGACCCATAAGCATGACCCCAGGAGTTTCCGTACCTGATCTGCAACCCATCAATGTCATCCCATCCCCTCACGTACGCGGAAGTGATGGGAGGACCACGGTCAGTGACAGGAGCTTCACTGTACTCGCTCCATGCGGCATTAGTCGTGTGACGACCAAACGGGCCAAAGTAGATCTCTCGGTCCAATTTTCTCAAGACAGACTCGGGCATCTTGTCTCCCGCCAGGTATGGCCAGTATTCGGCGTAGTTGAGCACATTCATGACCATACCGGAGTCGTAGTCTGCATAGGCCCTGAGAGTGGCTGCAGCTGTGCTTCCCCTGTTGTCGGCGTCATTAAGCTCCGCATGGTAAGGTTTGACCTGTCCCCGCCCTTTGTAATAGACCTTGTAGGCGTAGGTTGCATAGTCAAGATCATCGTATCCTTCACCATTCCCTGCGTATCCTGATGCAGGGACAGCGAGGTCAGAATACGCGTCTTCCCATGTAGCGACTATAGTAGTTGGCATTTCCAGGTCGATGGCCGTGGCGATAGCCCCTTTGAGTAGATGGTTCTGTTCCGAGGCCATCGTTGCTGCATATCCAACAACACCTTGGGGCGAAGTTTTCTTCTTAAACTCGGCTCGCATTGTGTTGATGTTCTTTTCCGAGTAGCCCCAGGCTATGCCATGCCTGATGCCATCGGATAGCAGCATGAGGTGGATATTGGCTGCAAGAGCAAATAAGGGAAGAGAAGGCACTGCAAAACTTTCGACCCGAAACTCAGGAATAGCAGCTCTGACTACGCTCAAAAAGGCGATGTGAGTCATTTTGAGCGTGTCCCTTGCTCTCATCCGCTCATCGCCCGATGAATCCTTGTAGTCTTCCCAGACCCGTGTGTAGTTCTCCATATTATCTTGGAGACCTCGGATCTTCTTCCTCAGAATGCTCAACTGAGTTTCTGTGATCTTGGTTTTAACGAGTGCCTCAACGCGCTCTCGCAGCTTCTCCCAGATCTTCTCAGTTGCATTTGGATGAAAGAGTAAACTTCCGAACAGTGTAGTAAGGGCGCTAAGGCTGCTCCCAATGACTGGGATAAGTTCACAACCCAGAGCCAGAACGGAGCAGACATATTGTCCGACCTCTTCGGGGTCAGTGACCCCCAGCTTTTGGCCACTATCGGTGGCCTTGATAAGTTTAGTGGTTAGATCATTGAGAAACTTTTCGCTGATTTTAATACCCATTTTGGAATATTGGCTGGCAAATAGAGAGGTAAATGGTAAGGTAGGTAAACAAATAATAAAGAGTCTTGAGGGAGTGGCTAAATGGCTTGAGAGACTTCTTCCCAATAGTGAAAAGAATACCCTCAGACCTATATACTTATCGAGCCATTGTACCATGCTATGAATATGTATTGTATGTTTCTATGGCGTAACTATTGCCAGTATCTATTCACAGCGCTAGAATGGGGCAAGTTGCGTAATGGCTAGAGCTAGCTATCCAGCTTAAGGTAAAAGATTATCCATCTTAACCTGCTTCGAAATTTAATGCAGCTAGACTTTCACTATGTCGGTTCCTATTGGGCTAGAAATTGGAGAATGTAACGTCCGAGCACACGGCACAATACATCTTGGCATTCAACAAGGCAGATCGTTTTTCAGCTGCAAAGCTAAATGCATATCCCTACCTCTTGAAGATTGGAAATCGATAGTATGACAAAAACTGATATCACCTTTTCTACACATCGAGATCTGTTCAAGCAATATGCCTCAGCTTTCATTAGAGTTAAACACAGTATTATATCAGTTGCGCAGTTACTCCTATCTTATCTCTGCGGCCCAAGCTAAGTTTCATTTCATCTGCCGGCTTGCTGAACCCCTCTTTAATCGGGCGAACTATTAGTATGTTCCGTTCTCTAAGAGAACTAGTTAAATTCCGGGGTGCCCTGCACTATTCAGTTTAGGGCTCCAAACAAATTCGGCTAAGAAAGAGACATTTTTGTCAGGGCGGTTTAACATTGGATATTGTTTGAGGAGAGGATGACAGAGCAGATCGTAATCCAAACCGATGATCCCTTTAAAGAAGTACAAAGTGTAAAAAATAATACCTAGCTAGAGCTCTTATAGCTCGTGGTAAGGTTGCATATACTAATTTTCACAGCCTGTTGCTTTTTCATATCTGTCAAGTAGCAAGTTCATTGAATGGGGGGATATCTACATCTAATTACAACAGCAGAGTACACGGAGGCCACAGAGGCATTGGGTCGCTAACATTAAGGTTGATTGATTGTGATTTATGCTGCTAAACAGGAACGAGTAGTGTGACAACCCCATGAACAGTACCGATAGGTGAGATGGGCAGATCTCTATGTACTGGAGAGGCCAGACGGCTATTGGCTCCATATTACAAGCTTAGCTGCTGCCCGGCATTTTTACCCGAATTAAGCGACCATAAGCCTATGAAAGTCGACAAAACCTGGATCGGTTTTATTATCTGCCCTATTGCAAGCATGATAGATGAACCCGGGCTTCAGCCCATGGGCGCCACTATCCAAGCTGGACTTCAGCTGGGCCGATTTAGCAGAGGAAAGATGAAAGGCTCCAGACATAAATGGGATCTCGCAACACCTTTTGATAACAAGCCAGCGTTGGTCATTTTTGGAATCCCTCTCCGATTTTTCTGATAGATTCAGTATGGGCCCATATCCAAGCCTGATAGTAGTTGTGGCCTGGTGCCATTGGGCTTGCATTGCCGCCGCTCAAGCTGAGTTTCCTAGTTGCGCCGTAAGTAGTAGGAATTTGGTCATTGCAGTCTGGCTTTTCTAACTACCCCATCACGTAGAGCAATTGCTATACTGGTTTAGTTAGCAGCAGCTCATCACCTACAACAAACTGCAACAGTTTCGATTACAAGTGTATCTGTCAAGATGAGGATTACCTCGAAGAGCAGATATGTTGTTTACACAAGGAATGTTCTGACGGAGATCGCGAGGCTGCTGAGGGCTATGCAAGATCTGTCTGCCAAGCTGTTGGTGTGATTTAGGTCACTATCTTCTCTCGGCCGGATTCTAACCAATTGCTAGACTTTAGGTCACAACCTGACTTGTTCCACTCTATCGGCATCAACTTCAAGCACAGGTGAATATCCCACCTCCATAGTACTAAAGATCAGTTTTTGACTAAGGGATTTACTACAGCTACAGAGGTTTCAGGAGGCAGCACCAAGGCCGATACTGCAGACTCCTCCGCATCGCTAGACTTATCCTCTGGCAATAGCGGAAGCGGGGATGAAAGCTCAAAGACTCACATAGCTTACCAAACATCGCAACATAGAATTAAAACTGGATTAGGCGCGGGCCTGGGAGCAGGGATACCTATCCTGGGTGCCATTATAGGTGCCATTACCTGGTTTTTGAAGCGGAAGAAACGCCAGTCTGTTACACAGACACCACAAACCAACACAACAGCTCAGCCTCCATTTGATCCTGCGGCCTCTGCTCAAGAATATGTTCACCAGGCACCTGGTGGTTCATTTTACCCTATGCCTCAAACAGATCCTCAGACTACAGCATATTCGCAGCAGTCAATATTTAAAGCCTATAGATCGCCTGGGAACAATGGATAAGGGCTACCCAGCGGTACAAAACTTCCTGCTGCTCATGAGCTGCCAGTAGGAAGTACATGAGTCTTGAGCGATATCTAAAAGAGAAACCCAACAGAAATGGAGGACTCCTGCCTTGTTGATGGGGAAGGCTGTTCTTTAAGGGATGCCGGGATCCTACAGTTAGCTACTTTACAGCAGCGGAATACTAGTCTTGGTTTTTTATTATTTATAAACCTTTATCATAAGGCTGTGGCTTATAATAAGTATAAATGAAGTTAGCTGTCTCCTAAGGGTTAGGCAACGACATGATAACTCATATACAGATGACACAAATATCTCATTTTGCATTAAAGCACGCAAACAGCATCCCAGCTTATCATTCCAGCGGTGAGGAATGATCATTATTAAAGAGTCGGGCAATAATCTGAGGCTTGGCTACAACAATGAGTGCAATAAATAAAGCATCCTTAGACAGTCTCTCAACTGGATTAAGCTGGTAAGTTCAGTGTTGAGAGATAGCGAAAGTGAACTAACATCTCAAGATAATGAGGGTATGTTTAATCCCGGCATATACTCTACACTAAATTCATTAAGTAAGTTTTGTATATATTTCGCAATTGTTTTCCCGTCTTAGTCAGTTATACAGAAGCATATATCTACATGAAGAACCACTATGCCAGCTCAAACCTTCATGCTATGCTCTTGCTATGTCGTGTCAAATACGCCTCAGCATAAACTGCTACCAGGCCACTACATTGCCTGGCCTTCACGTGGCATTAACTGTGTAAGGTCCTAGACACCGCCGGTGATTATTCACTAACGGGATCAAAAGTCAAAGGCGTCACGATTGATAACGCGGAGTCACTGCAATACACACGTTTTGTGGTTTATCGAGAAGATGTCATTTTTCCTGTTGGACTCATTATGCATAATCGCAAACGCTGGGAGCCAACATGATCAGAGACTAATGCTTGGCTTAGCTAGAACAGCTTACATATTTCATTTCTCCCGCGAGCAGGTACAAGTTCCACCGGTCATATCGGGACCGTATTCTGTCAAAGAGGTTCTGCTCCCTTGTGGCAGCTGCAAGCTCCTCGGCGAATCCGTTGATGTAATCAACCGTGCCTGTGAGCATGGCTGTTGCTATATGCTCGTACAGTGTCCATGATGGAGTGAATGTATGTCCGTACACTACAATCTTAGGCCTCAAGGAACAAATTTCTAAAGAGCTGCAAACCATTGGGTTCGTTTCTCTGGACTGGATGCCTCGCCCCACCAATGGGGTGTCGCCCGCCTCATCTTGTTCATTAGACCTACCAGCCTGGCCCGAGGGACTATGACTTAAAACGAAAGCGTAAGGGATAAAGCGCAAGAACAGGGAAGGGTATTCGATGGTGGGAAAGTGTATATATTAATAACATAAGAAGACCCTGGAATGCAAGCTGTGATTCTTTTCATTGGGATGTTCTACTGAGGGAGAAAGATTAGGCTCTGAATCTGGGGCTGAAAATAAAATGAGGGGACAGGTTCATTGCCCCCAGTATTACTTAACAATATAATAAGCCAGTGTTATAAAAAACTCGCAATATACATCTTAGTTAAAATTCGGTTCAACTGTCAAGTCCATCATATTTAAAAAGTTAAGGCTAGAATGTTTTTATATCATATACTTCTTAGTATAATCTTATATTACTATCCCGCCCTTCTCGAGTTTAAAGATAGAGAAGGATTAACTTCGTCCAACGGTAAGGCTGCGCATCATAAGATTTAGTCAGTGTTTGAACCTTGGCAGTGGCTGTCAACGTGGAGTAATATGCATTTCTCACTCCTGTCAGCTAACCAACTATGTATTGGGTTTCGATATTAATCTTACCTCTTTACCAGAGGACCAAGATGCCTCTGAATGTGGTGGCCAAGCGATAGCCCGAAAAGCCCTGCAGTATTAGTTATTTAACTCTAAATAAGTTTAGAGAATCATCTAGAGCTGTAATACCATCTTTATGGCTTGCTGACAGTAACTTCGGGCTCAGTCCCCTCCGAGCAGCCGGCAGGGTGGGGTAGCCAATGGAGCTGTAGCATGTGGCAACGTCCTATTGGAGTTCTGCCAAGGAGGGTGAGTCCGCCTTGTGCGTTCCACCATAATCGTCATCTGACTTGGCGCTGAGGGGGTTTGTTTCGGTAGAGCACAACTCCCATGATGTGAATAATAAAAACCCTCTCCAACGCCAATCCGCCGCCACCTCACAACCCATTTGGTTCCGATAGTCCCAGTCCCTTACTGAAGAGACTGTTTTTTTATATAATACATTAACCTTCTCAGTGGCTACGTTGTCTCCAAATGCTCGAAGCATCAGCCTCAATCATGTCTTCAAGGAACGCTGACAAGGGCGAGACGGCTACCGATTTTGTAAATTCCTCCAAGCCTCAGAAATTGAACTCGAAGTCCATCCCATATCTAAGTCCTCCGAACTCGCCACCCCACACCCCGGGAACGTTTGGGGATGAAACTCGTTCGGCTAGAGCCATCTCCTTATCTCTTCTCAGTCCTCCAACAAGCCCCCCGCAACAATCGTCAGCACTGGTGATCCATGAGAAGCGGCCGACAGATGGAAAGGCCAATACTACAACGCTGAGGACTCGTCTGGGTCTTGACAATAAACGGTGTGGGGCTCTTACAAAATCAAAGCGGCCTTGCGGGAACTGGTCACCAGCAGCGAACAGAGCCGAGGTCACTTCTCAACTCAAGTTAATGACGAACTACACGCAGTCATCTATGGAGCTCGAAGCCGCGTTAGATAAGCTTGCCAAGTTTGTGCATTGCAAATATCACGACAGTGGTCTCCCGCAGAAGGATCGGATCGAAGGCTGGATAAAGAATTTTCCCGCCGGAGAAGTTGTTGTCACCGACCCATCCGTATTGGTCGAAAAGCGAATCAGAAGAGCTTTGGTTCTAGAATCTGTTCAGTGCATAGCAGCAGTGGATAGTGCAGACTCGCGCTGTAAAAACAGAATTGGAGGGCAACGAGTGAGTCATTGTGCATTAACGATTGACAAGATTGTCAATCCAGACGTCTATTTGAATCACTCCTCCCTTGACGGATTCCTCAAAGTCCTTGAGACCAATATGTACTGTTGCCAGCACATAAACAGGAAAGCGTTGCAAAAGGTGGCACAGTGGAAGTCCAGCATTGTGGAAATTCTCGAGGATCATCTTGTCAAATTTGCTGAAAGCAGTGTACTGAAGGATACCCAAGGCCTCTCCATAGCTCTAAACACACAAAGGCCCCCCAGGAGCCCCTCGGCCAGCAGGAGCAATGGCTTTGTCTTGAGAAGTGGATCCTTGTCGATCCCCAACTTCGATCGAGATTTGAGCACATACTGGCCTGCCACATACGACACCTCTCCCTTCACGATAATCGAGAGGAGCCGCAAACTTGCAGACTATGATTCTTTATATGACATATCCAAGCGCAAACTAGATGCTATGGACCAGAAAGATGGATATGTTTATATGTATGAGGTTGAAGGAAACCCAGGATTTGTGAAGATTGGGTACACGACTCGTTCCATAGAGGAGCGCCTTCAGGAATGGGAGTTCGATTGCAACAGGGTTCCCAAAGTCCTATTCCCCATTCTTTCAAGCACTGCCACCATCATTCCAAATGCCAGTCGTGTTGAGGCATTATGTCATGCAGAGCTTGAGCATCGAAGAATTAGGGTCGATTGCCATTGCTGCCTGAAGCAGCATTTGGAATGGTTCGAAACTCCATCTACGGAAGCCATTACTGTAATCGAGAAATGGTCTAACTGGATGGCAACCCGCCCATACCAGTCTATTCAATTAAGACATAAGGTAAAATGGACAATTACAGATGAGGGGAGAAAGAGAGCGTGGGATATAGTTTCACAACTTAAGGAGTAAGAGAGTTTATATTATATATATTTAATTAAATAGATTAAAGCTTAGTAATTACTGTTAAATATCTTTATAGTATTAAGTTAAAAAGTAATTAATTAAATTAAAAATGAGATTAAATAGTTATTTCGTTGTATGTTAAAATATATTATTCTTTAAAATATTAAAGAAATGTTTTTAATTACTATTTACTTAACTATCCTTACTCTTACTTATTAACTTATATTACTATAATCTCTTTTATTTAGGGTTTTTATATCTTTTATAATTACTTTTATTTTACATATTTCTTTTTCTACTCATTACTTCTTTCTTAGATATATAAGCTAGACATCCCTTATTTATTACAAACAGCATCCCTCATTGTTATATATACAGCACCTTGTTCCATACGCGTTCAGATCGTTCTACATCAGGGCTGCTAAGTCACTGCCTTACCCCTTGACACCTCCCCTTCCTATTATCAATGTAACGGCAACTCAGAGTTTCCTTGACCAGAGTCTGCACGGCGCGGCCTTTAGACGTACTCTTTAGACTATTAATCATCGAAGTAAGAGTTTCTATATATCATTGCTATATTCTCGTCGTAATAGAGATGGCACATCTCCCCAGAGATCACACCACCGTCTACTTTGATGATGTAATGCGCCATCGGGTCCTCCGACCACGAGCCACCACTTTTTCAGGAACCACGGATCCATGTTCCAACTCCGGACCTCCCAAGAGGTACCTGGTACAGTTGCTGCATGATCTCAGCTGAGTTGCGATCCCCAACAAATGATATCATCCTTTTCAATGTCCCTGCCGTAATCTCCCTCATCAATAATTGGTAGCTCTGCCGTTGTGAGCTGAATCATTCGTTGGCGAAATACTGGACAGGGGGAAAGGTCCATCTACGGATGGTGCTGGTGCTTTATCTGGGCGGGCGTCAGCCTTAAGTCCGGTTTTAAGTGTAGAATCTTAGCGTCGACGCCTGCCACCTCCGCAATCTCCGGGTTATTTGTGCTGAAGCCTCCACGGTAAAATGGTGAGATCGTGTCATGATCAGTGAGCTGTTGAAACGTAACCTCAAGTAACTTCGCGTTGGCACGCAGGGCAGCAACTACTAGACGCTGCTTCATATGCAAGTAGTAGGTGTGTGCATCTAAGAGGAGAGATTTAGAATAGTCATGCATCCTACCTCTAGTAAGCAGGATCTTGTCCGTGCGAAGACCAGGCTGCAACTCTTCTCCAGCACGTTCAGTTGGTTCGAAATATGCTTTCCTTGTTGTAAATAAAGTGCTTCTATTCCAGCTTTGAGTGTATCTTGGCGCGTGATGTGTCCTCATTCAATCTTCACCTGAATGTCGTCGTCAAGGTTGCCATTTTGCTCAACAAGGCGGTCAAAAGATTCCACCTACACATAAAGTTTGTTATTCGATGTATAAGTAGCAGATAAAATCGTTCTTTGGGAAGATTACTAGAAATATAGTGGTAGATGCCAGGATCATGGGTGGGGTGCTGGATGAATTGCTGGATGGAGGAGCGAAAGAAATTTGTTGTATGTCTCTCCCGGTTTTTCTATGAAGAACCTGGGCAGATAGCAAGTCCTCGAGACATTTTATGTGTCTCTTCTTGCTTTCTCCTACACAATCGGTCAATTTGAGAGAATCGTGTATAGTGGTGGCGAGGCGCTGACTATACTTCTTCTGGGCTCGGACATTCTGTTGCCTCTTGCGATCAGATACCTGCTTGGCCTCATGTACTGCATCAGGCATGACAACAACGCCGCTCGTGACTTGCGGATAAGGTGGCAGTGTCGACTGATAATTGCTTACACCGTTGCAATTCAATTGTTGAAGCGTGGTTGGGCTGAACTGAAAATCAATTTCTCGACAGAAATATAGGAAAAGGTAAAGTATTGTATGCCTGCTTAGTTGGTCACTTCATCAATTAGATTTAAGGAGCTAAAGGTATCTGTTTCGCCAATTGTCTGACAGTGGAGTAGCCGGTAGGGGTTTGGGGGGATGTAACCAAATCTATCGTCTTTATTTCGACGGCCCAGGAGCACTAGATTGCAGAAAAACGACCAAGACGGCCAGATATCTGGACGCAGTTAACAATCAATTGATCACATTGAGTTGGGCACGAGGCAATGGGAGCTCACCCCGCTGTCACGGCCAATTTCTCAAACGGCCTTCCATGCGCCGCATAGCTCACAAACCCCAGCCATACGATCGCAAAAGCGGTAATAACGCCTAACTTCCCGTTCGCACTGCTCATGGACTGCAGGATCCACATGGGAGCAATCAGCATCATAAGCGTCGTGGCCAGCATGACCATGAAGGCGAAGTTGTCAATCGCCGCATCGCTGTACATGTACGTCGCTGCGCGGTCGTGTGAGTTCATGCGGCAGGCATCCTTCTTGAAGAGGCCCATGACTTCGCCGTATGATGAGACAAAGTACTGCTCGAACACGCGGCGCAAGGGCGGCTTCTCTTTCCAGATGGAGATGAGTTCATCAGTGTGCATAAGGAAAGCACTCTCGGACTCCATGATGGCGCCAGGGTTGTTGCTGAACCAGGTTCGGAGGTTTTGTAGATTCCATTTAGGGGCTGGTGCAAGGGCAGCTAGGTGAGAGTAGGAGAGGAGGAGCTTGTCTAGGAATCAGACTTAGCTTATCATGAGTTTCTAGCTTATTTGCAGAAGTAACGCACCATACGTCTCAAGCTTCTGGGTAATGTCGGCAATGAGAGATGCACGTTGTGGCATATCGTCTCTTACCGTACCGTTGTTGATGTCTCTCGGTGTAGAATATTCGCCGTGCGTGGCTACAAGTTCTGCTTCCTGCCCTGGGCTCAGGCCCCCTGGAGGAATTCTGATAATTTCCGGTGGCTGTTTGCCCACGGCTTTGACGTGTTTTGAACTATACTCAATGTCCATTACATCAAGCTGCTCTTCCTTTTCCGCCAATAGGTCTTGGAGAGTGAGTATTGCTCGGGTATGTAGCCGATGGAATCGCCGGACAGCGAAGAGGTCTGGATCTGAAGCAATGTAGGAGGTAAAGTCTTTGTAACCAACGTACTTCCTGATAGTTTATTAGTCTATAACGGCTGTTCGCTCGTTTGAATCTTGTCTCCTCACCATGGCCTTTTATTGATTTCAGCTTGACTCGGAGTGTCGGGGTCACCAACTTCCAACCCGAAACAGGGAATATCTCGCGCGGACATCTTGTGTTGAACTCCTAATACAATCAGAGATAAATTAAATTAAGTAGTTGGGCTTCTTCTAAATATCTCCCAGCTGCAAGAGCCAAATTCAAGTATTATTATTGTTGTTGTTTTGGCTGCCAATAGCCCAATGTGCTCTCCTAGGTCAGGCTGCAGTCCAGGTTGGGCTCCAATACCCAGGGCTACTTGTACAGCTGCTGTCCAATTGAGTTCCAATGTGGTGACCAGTCTGCCTTGGCTGCGAGCCAAGCCTCACCACTGCTGCCCAAATCGCGTAATATTCCGTCTCCGCCAATGACATCAGCAGACCACACACCTTTTCTGTGCGTTCTGTGTAGTTCTGTCAGACTGGTATTGAGAGTAGGCAGCATCTATATAACCCCCTAGCAATGCCTTTTAGTAACCAAGAAGCCATCTGTTTTACATCTTTGATCTCCTCAAATAACAAAAACGCCAGTCTCACAAACAGTTTTTAAGGCTTCATTCATAATGCCCGGATCAGAGATTACCACATCTACACCCGTAGAGATATGGATTGCCGATACTACCCAAAATCTGATTACTCCAAAAGCCTTCGCTGCCTGCGCTATAACAAAAAAGGTCACGTGGCCACCAGTATGGATCGATCCACCCCCAACGAATAATCCTAAGTAAGCCCAGTGTAAGTAATATTTAAACCTTATTTTCCCTTACAATGCTGCTGTATATCGTGGCGGGACACTAATGACTCTATTAGCGCTAAAGGCCTGCTTTAATATGCTGAGGTGAGACTCTGGCGGGATTTAAAGTATAGAGCAAATACCCAACGGTTGGCAAAGACATACTACCTGCCGAAGAATGGAATTATATTACAAGCTAAGGCCTTTATTAGAAGCTAGTATAACGTATAATAATGATGCCCATACTTTAACCTACCCTATTTTACTAGAGCTTACCACTTTATATAAGCTCTTGCATTTTAAACCTATAGTATTAGCAGGCCTGCCTAAAGGCTAATTTTAAATATTTAGCATTAAATCTATAAAAGAACTACTTATATAATTAAATACTTTACTTAAAGACTCTATAATAATTAGTATAGAAAGCTTCTATTTAAGTATAAATTACTTTATATATAGTTAAGTAATTTATAGTATTTTATACTCTTTACCTTATTAGTGGAGTTATTAATAGCATATATACTTATATTATAGAGGTATAGTCTATAACTGGTATATATAATTAGTATATTTAAGTTAATGGCTTCACCGTAACCCAGAACGACATTCTCCATGCGCTAGAAAAGGCCACGGGCGACAAATTTCAAGTTTCTTATGCTCTGGGAAGCAGGTGCTGAACAGGTCAGAAATGGAGATGCGATGGGCTCTCTGGCTCAGATCTCTGGTGCGATGTACGGCAGGGGCCGTGTCGCGAATTATTCTGTTGATAAAGGACTCTGGAATGATAAGATAGGCCTCCCAGGAGAAAACCTCGAGGAGTTCGTCGAGGGTTATATCGAAAGCACTTGACTAATTATAAAGGCGTCTTTATGAGTCACGGAAGTTAATGCTTCACGTACCTGAGGCGAAGTTCTAAGGATAGCTTTGGTGGAGGTAGGTAGCTCCATGCTTGATGTTTTTATGTTCAAGGCATTAAAACCTAAAGCGAGTTGAAAGAGAAATTCAATGCAGTTATTGTGGTCTAGTCAAAGTCGTATGATGTGTCATTCGTGACGATTCATGATTAGTGCAAACCGTTGGTCGCGGATGTGGACGGGATTTGTAATCAGTCCTCATTGGGCCGCATTTGCCGACGTCCCTTTGCCGACATCAGAAGTTCCGCATGAGAAAGATTCGACTTCTTCAATTTAACAGCCATCATACAAAAGTCACTAATCATCCTGTTATACTTCTTCCTGGCAGTTCATTCACAATGCAGTCAGCAATCATTTGGCCTATTAAGTTCCTTCCCGGAACTACCGACAACTATACCTCAAACGAAGTAATTGTGCGCGATATCACTGCCGCCGAAGTCTGGGCCAACCTCACCGACATCACTCAGTGGGAGTCGTACTACAATAACTGCAGTCATATCACACCGCCAGTCACCTGCAACAGCCTGAAGAAAGGCGACGACTTTAGCTTCTCGACTTTCGGGTTTGGTCCCTTTCCGGCAGAAGTCACGGAGTCTGTGCCGCCGAGCGCGGGCTCTCCGGGACGTTTGGCATGGAGGGCATGGGTAGATGGGGACGAGAGCTCTAAGCTAGATGTGTATCATGCTTGGATTGTGGAGGACTTGGGTTATGGCGCGGTTAGAATATTGACGCAGGAGTCTCAGATTGGGCAGCCCGGAGCTAAGCTTGCGGCTACTAAACCGAATCCCATATTGAATGGTCATCAAGAGTGGCTCGACAGCTTGGTCAATTTCACAAAGCAGAAACAGAACGCGTCAAGCTAATACAACCTATGACTGAGAGCGTACAACCTCGACCTAGAACTTGGTCCTTGAACTTTCCATTGCACTGTGTTCTTAATGTCATCCCTAACTTCCAGTGTATGGCCGTGAATAGCGTTGCAGGTACTGGCACTATCACCATCAGTTTCTAAGCGCCATACGGCGTTGACTCGTTGTACTGTGACCCATCCTTCTGGCACACCGGGTTCTTTCTGGCCATTCGTGATATAGCCCAATGTTGTCCATAGGCGCCAGCTACAGCAGCGATGTTTGGAAGATGAGCTTAGGTTGGCATCAAATGTTTGTCATGCATTTTCATGCTGAGGCCGGCGACCCAGCATCGTATTCCGGCTACGTGACCTTTCACTGACAGTCAATTCAACCATTTTGACGTTACATAGTTTCAAATCCCATTTCGTTCATCTTCCACTGTCTTGCCTGGTTGATCAATGGATTGTGTGACTGAGGGACTTGGATAATTATGACAATTGCCAACGTTAGCAGAAGTGGGGGTTTTCGGATTTGCCGAGAAGGCAGCAGAGATCGACAGAGATGGTCACCTATAGAGACATAGCTCCGTTCAAGGTTGTATGCAGGGATCTACACAAGCAGAAGGACGTTAGGTGAGGATGGCACGCGATCAGGGTAATCATTCAATGTCTCATTATTTCTGCGTTATTAATATACATAAGCTATCTTGACTCGTTGATGTGCAAGCAAAGGCTTTCCAAGGAAGTTTGATATGGACGTTCAAGATCTTCGATCAACATCTACTTGTGTGCGGGGGCTTGCTCAACGGTCTCGACAGTGGCCTGATCGGCCTTGCTCAACTGATCGAGAACATGATCGTCGACAGACTCGTGGAAGACATCGACCTTTGTGGTAGCGAACTTTCGAGCGCTGACACCCTTCTCGAACAGAACGCCCAACTCGGCAAAGGTTCGGCCATTGGGCTCGGGCAGGCGGAAGTAGGTGTAGATGACGCAGAGGAAGCAGATGCCACCCTGTCGAGCATGTTAGCTGTGGATCCAGTGAGAACATGGCTTCAAGACTTACCCAAAAGAAACCAGTGTAGTTGCTCCAGTTCCAAGCGGTGGGGTTGAGCATGTAAGGGGCCAGAACAGCGTTGACAATACCGACAATACCACTGCGATTGGTTAGCTGCGAGTACTTTTGGTATCTGTAGGTCAGACTTACTAGAAGATACGACCAAGAGCGACAGTCTTGATCTGAAGGCGTCGAGATGGAAGCTCAGAGACAAGAGAGTAAGCTACGGAGCCAACAGTGAGCTGGTAAACAACAGCCCATCCAATCATCAGACTTCCAGTAGCAAGAGCACCCTTCTGGCGATCAGCCTCAGGGACGAGACCAAGGAAGCCAAGAATGCAGAGGACAGTGCAGAGACCGCACAGTCCGTAAAGGTATAGAGTTCGGCGACCAATTCCAATAGACATCAGACCCCAGGCGCCAAAGACACCAATCATGTTGATAGCATATTGTCCAAGAGCAAAAGAGTAGGCGTGCTCGGCAGACATACCGGCTTGCTCGAGGAAGTAGGTTGAGTAGTTGGAAAAGGAGTTACCGCTGAGGTTCTGCATAGCCCAAACCATACAGACGATTTCTGTTCGTCGACGGTTAACACCCTTGAAACAATCGATATAAGAGCTTCCTTCAGTCAACTTCTCCTCGAGAGCAGTTGTATGAACCATCATAGCCACAGTCTCATCAGCATCGAAATCGGTCTCACGGTTAAGGCTCGTAAGTCGAAGAAGACTCTTCTTGGCATCAGCAACACGGCCTTTGCGAACAAGCCACCAAGGAGACTCGGGAGCAAGCCACAAGCCGACCATTAAAGGCAGAGGCCAGATCCACTGCAGACCGTAGGGGATTCTGTAAGCCCACTGATCAGTTCGGCCGATCATAGATCGCAAGATTCCAATGCCGATTTCTTGTCCGAGACCCCAGCAGAAGTTGACGTATGTGGTGAGATAACCTCGGAGGGCGATGGGGCAGACTTCGGAGGCGTAGGTGACGCAGATGGTCTGGAAGATACCCCACGGGAGACCGCAGAGGATTTCGGCGGCGAGGAGCATCTGGACGTTCTGGGCGGTGAAGAAGAGGGTGATGCAGCCGGAGAGCCAGATGAGGCAGCCGATGATGGTGTATCGATATCCGAAGCGCTCAGAGAGCCAGCCGTTGAGGAAGAGACCGATGATGGAACCGACGTTGGCACCCTGTGATGGTTAGTTTTGTCAACCGAGTGGCCTTTATGGCGCATACATTACTCAAACCAGCTTGCCATGCTGCAGACACCTGATATGTTCCATCAGGCTGGAGTTGACCGTACTTCTTGTTCCACTGAGGGAAAGCATCTGAGCAATAGTGGTTAGACCAAGTCGCGTGATATTGTGCGAGGCAACTCACAGAAGTTGTTGACAAGGACAATATCAAATCCTTCCATGACAATGCAAGTCGAGATGAGAATGCTCCACGCGACAGCCTTGGGATACAGCTTGATGCCCTGCATGAGGGTCATCTTCTGCTCCTTGTTGGCCGCCGAGCGCGCATGGTCGATAACATCAGGATGAGTCTTGCTAGGGTCCGAGGTATCGATGTGAGCCTCTGGGGCAGCAGCCGAGACCTTTTCGTCCGACATGATTCAACGAAGCCGAAAGCGAAAAATCCTCTCGATGAATAAGAAAAGAGAAAAGATGTGAGAGAGAGATGCGGGGAAGTGTGATCTGGGGAAAGATGGAGAATGGGCAACCGCCCCAATATTTCTATTAAATGCTGGGGGGAAAAGATGGAGAGGTGATCGGCCAGGTTTCCGGAGGGAGAGACGGGCTAAGAAATTTGCCTAGCCTTGGGAGTGCGGGACAGTTGCCTGAATGGTGTTAGCTTACGCTGGAAGATGGGGGGGAGGATGGCAATCGTCGGCTTGGGTTGCTCAGGTCTGGGCACCAAGAGAGGGCAGACTCTTTATGCTTCCTTTCCTGAATAAGTAGAATGTTCTGTGTGACCATGTCTTCAAGGCTATTCCCAGTTTTCAGTCAGTCCATGGCCCGATTCACCGCCAAATGGCACCACAGAATCTTGGAGAAGAGTCTCCCACTTCTGGTACGTAATCTCCTCAAGGCCCAATTTCTCCGCAACGCAGTCCAATTCTGGGGGTGGGGTACCCTCACGCGTGATTGACCAACGAGAAACAAGGTTATGCCAATCTCCCATGCTAATAAAGCGGGTCAGAATGCTCTCGAACAGACTCAGCCAATCTGAGTGTCTCCATCTCCAAAAGAACAGGGTTTTTTTCGCTCGGCCAATT